GGGAGTAATTAACTACATTTCTTAGTTATGTCCTCTCTCCTAGGCAGTATTTTTAACTATAAACAAATTAGAACCTTTCATAGTGGTTTGAATGTACTTGTATTTAGCTGTTGCACAGTTTAAGCTGCAAATATTTGAACAAGTGAATGTGAATTTTCTTAAAATCCATTAAAATGTAAACACTTGTAGAGATTTTGTCAGGCCTTGCTGTTATGTTACATTTGGGGAGAGTTGTCAGTGGTGGACTGAAGGTGAAGTAGGTGGTTACAACATATATGTTTTACCTATGTGTGGTTCTCATTAACCTCTAAATTCACCTAGGTAGAGTATATTATTCACTGTCTTAAACTTTTTACCAGTATAAGGTGGAAAACAAATAAAACATACTCCTAAATTAGGATACAATGAATGCCATGTAATTTGATCTTTTGTGAATCAAAATTTGCACTTGTTTTGAGAATGGTTCCAACTCACTCTTTAGAAATACTTGTTTCTGTGTATGAAAAAATGATAAAAGTTCAATTTACAGATCAGGACACTAGTGAGACATAAATGAAGTTGGTAATGTTACAATTACTGTGAAATGTGGTACTTAAATTACCTGGGGAGAGAAAGATCCAGTAAACCAGATGTTCCCACTTTGTAAAAAGGTCATTGCTAATTAATTAGAATCTGAAAAATAGTTTATTGAAAAATCCCTCCATGTTGCCTAAATCCAAGGAAGTTCTTTTTATACATTTGAATGAAAATATAAGCTTTTTATTTTATAGATTTGCCGAGTATTTGCATTGTGATTTCACCTTTTTTTTTTTTTTTTTTTTTTTTTTTTTTTTTTTTTTTTACTGAGCTAAAACTTCTTTTTCTAGGATAAATTATCAATGTGTTTTGCCTTGTGTAAACCTCAGTTGAATGATAGTGGCAGTGTTTTGAATTTTACACTTTCAGACTTCAAAGCAGCATGTCATGTGATTTGTTATACTAACCACAAACTATGAAGCAACCTAAACTGTTGACAGACAATAAAACTGAGACTGCAGCAGATCTGTGGTATCAAAGCCTCAGGTAGTAGTTTACTCTGTTGCAAGCCAGTGTATTATGATTTTGCATAATGAACAAGCTTGAGTGAAGTGGTACCTCACAGCCTCACAGTTGATGTTCTTCTATTTAAAGACTTTGAAAGAACAAGGTTAATTTAAATTGTTGAGTTTACTATCTGAACTATATTGCAATACTCTAAAAGGAGCTTTTCAGAACTAACGAGTTTTTGTATGTGTGTAAATGTAAGAAAACTTAACAGATACTGTTTCAGAAAATCTGAAGGAGCAAGGTGATGGAGAGGATAAGAGAATTTTGATTCAGTCCTTTTATACTAATTTTTCAGGTGAAGCAGGAAATCTTAAACAGAATAGACGAGAGTAAGGTCTTTGCACAAAATATTTCTTCTGATGCCTTTCTCCTTTTCTGATCTTTTTCTCTGTTGAAAAAGGTGAAAGAATGGATTAATGTATTGGTCTAAACTAGCAGATAAATAATAAATGATCTGTGCTTGAATGTCCATTGTACTAACAGCTGATTCCTTGTGCTAGGTATAGATAATATACCCTGACTTGTATGTTTAATTGAAGTTACTGCTCCCTGTTGCCCTTTCATGTTAGGGAGCTCCAGGTATCAACTGAAAAAACCCAACTAAATCATCCATACAAATCCAACCATATAAGTTCTTTTACTGGTACTTAATTACTTAAGTAATTACTATATTACTATATTACTGCTAATATAGGTGGTCAACATTGCTTGTGAATAGCACGAAATTGAAACGAATGGTGCCAGTAGAATTAAAGTGAATCAGTAAAGAAATCAGTGTAATATAGCCCAGGTTTACTGCATGAATGTGGTAAGTGGCTTCACTATTGCTCTTCTCAAACTGTGGGGGTTGTTCTGTGAAAGTGGTCTGGGATAAACAGGGATAGAAGATTTCTTTCTACTGTCTTCACTGCTCATTATGTCTTTAACATTGACCCCAAATAATTCTGTTTGATGTTAATGAGTATGAGGTCGTATTTGGATACTGTCATTAATCTGAGAAACAAAGCATGCTTTTCTAAGACTAAAGAAAATCAGATGTTTCAGAAATGAGGAAAAAAAAGACTAGAAATAATAATCCGGAGAAAGGCAGTAGAAGTGTATTACAAAAGGCGGGTGTAATTTGCAGCATGCCTGTACAGAAATTGCACGAGTAGAAAAGGTTTTAGAGAAGTTCCAGATCTCCCCTTTGCGGGAGTTTTGGCCAGGCTTTTTCTATCTTATTGTGCCTGCTTCATGAACCATAAAAGCAGCCCTAGTTTTGGTTTGTAAAATACTTGTGCAGGAATCCTTTATAGTAGAAGAGCAGATTAATTGGTCCTGTCTTGAGCCTGAGAAAATTTGTGTTTTAAAAACTTGCATATTCAACTTGCACTTTTGAACCTTCAGTCTACTACCTCACCTTCAAACCTCTGGGTCTTATAGATTTTGCTCTTCAATCTGTAACATTATAAAAAATAATAAAAAATATTGGTTTTACTACCATTCCCATTCAGAATTCTTAGAAGGGGTGACAGACCCTATATTCAGTGCACTAACAGCCTTGGTTGACAATCTCTTCTACGTTATTTTGGATTTCAGATATTATTTATCTGAATATGAAGAAAAATTTTGAGGTGCTGGAGTGTGTTCTAAGAGGGATCCCGGCACAAGTCTTATATGGAGTGGCTGAAGAAGCTGGAGTTGTTAGTTTGGAGAAAAGGAAGCTCAGGTGTGGTATTACTGCTCTCTACAAGGAGGTTTAGCCACATGGGGGTCAGTATCTTCCAATGACAAGTGACAGGACAAGACGAAACATTCTCAAGTTAAACCAGGACATGTTTAGATTGGCTGTTAGGGCAAATTTCTTCAGTGAAACGGTGGTCAAGCATTGGAACAGACTGCACAGGGAAGTGGAAACAGCATCCCTGGAGATATTTAAAAGGTGTGTAATGTGACCCTTGGGGACATGGTGTAGTGGTGGGTTTGGCAGTGCTGGGTTAATGGTTGGACTCAATGATCTTAGCAGTCTACGATTCTAAATTGAATCTTAATGTACTTAAATAATGTTCCCAGGTGTAAGATGATTCACTCCTTTGTAACAGTAGATGGGCTGAGTCAGACCATTGTTTTTTATTTTGGGAGTTAAAAAAGCAAAGAAACAGAAAGAATCTTGTTAGAATGCTTTAGGTTTTGCAGACTGAGCAGTTCTCAGAAGCACTAAATGTGTAGAAAGCTGGCAGTGAGAGATGTGGGCGTAAGAAAAACATTTCACATAGAAACAAGTGAGCTGGTATCCAGTATTTATAATGCTGATATCATGCAGTGATACAGGGTTCTATTTATGCATAGAGAGAGTCCCTATTGGGTATAACTCTGAGTATTGTAAATTTCATCCCTAAATAATCCAAATAGGATTAATTTCTAAGGCCAGCATCATCCTGTTGTTCAGAAGATGCAGCATTCATAAACATTTGGACCTATTTATGATGGGTATAATGTATACTTCATAAAACTAACATTCTTCTGGATGGTTCATGTTTAAATGAGTGCTGCATTCTCCAGAAGATGATGATAGTTTCTCAGTTTACCTTTTCAGATTTCAGAGTTTTCAGGACCTGGGGATGCTGGTCAGCAGCTGACTGAATATGTGTGCCCAGCTGGCCAAGAAGGCCAATGGCCCCTGGCCTGTATCAGAAATAGAGCAGGCCTGTGATTGTCCCTCTGTGCTCTGCATGGGTGAGGGCACACATTGAGTATTGTATCCCATTCTGGGTCTCATTGCAAGAGAGACATTGAGGTGCTGGAGTGTATCCAGAGAAGGGCTGTGGAGCTGGTGAGGGGTCTAGAGACTTTAAGTCTTATAAGGAGTGGCTGCAGGTACTGGAGGTGTTCAGTCAAAAGAGGAGCCTCAGAGGCGTCCTTCTCTCTAAAGCTACCTGAAATGAGATTGTAGCAAGATGGGGATCAGCCTCTTCTACCAGTCACAGGACGAGAGGAAATGGCCTCAGATTCAGCCAGGAGACACTCAGACTGGACATCAGGAGCAATTTTTTTCACTGCAAGGATGGTTAAGCATTGGAAGAGGCTGCCCTGGGAAGTGGTAGAGTCACCATATGTGGAAGTGTTCAAGACATGACTGGATGTGGCACTTAGTTCTATGATTTAGTTGTTACAAGGTAGAGTTTGGTTGGACTCAGTGATCTTGGAGGTCCATCCTAAGCTAATGATTCTATGATTCTGTAGTCTGTCACCAGTTGGTTTGGTCTCTGTTCTGAATCATGCAAAGCACAGAATGCAAAAATAGCTCCTTAGCAGCAGCAGCGTGTAAAGCAGGGTTTTCCATATCAAGATCAGGTAGTTCCTTGTGTTTGCAGGCATGGTGGGAAGGAACTAGTCAAGATTGAAACATTGCTAACATGACATTGAAAAGCACTTGAACTAGACTATCCTTGCAAACATTCCAATCAATAGCATTTATTTTTTAATTTTTTACATTTATTTCTGTCTTGGAGAAAATACAGGTATGTCTGTTTTATAAAATTTGCACAGGTACAAAGCTGAGAAAATTGCTTTAATTGACTTCTTTATTTTTTCTTTTTAATTCCCAATTGAAAGTAAGGATAAACAAAAGTTCGTAATACTTTTTTTGTTCAAAGAATTTTCGCTCAAGAATTTTCAAGTTTTGCACAGCTGAAATAACTGGAATATGGGCTCTGCAAAGCTATTTTATTTTGTTTTGTTCTAATTAATTTGAAATCCTGAGCAACTGATGTGTATCACTTTTTTGTTCTTCTGAATTTGTTGCATATTCATCATCCTTTAGATATGTGGCTATTTTCATGGTTTAGGAAGTGCTATGTTATATACAATTCACAATGGGGCTCTTCATCTTTATAGATGCCATATTTAGAGTATTTTCCTTTTATGTTTGCTAGAGTGACACCATGGCATCATTAGGACTCTTCTTCAAAGATGGCAAAAAGCGCATTGACTACATCTTGGTCTACAAGAAATCAAGTCCACAGGTAGAAAAAAGAAGTGTGTTTGAGAAGAATTTGCGAGCAGAAGGGCTGATGTTAGAACGGGAGGTGAGTTCTGCAGCTTATGTGGCATAAAAAACCCCTTTATAATACTATCCTACTTTACTGAACTGATTAAAGATTCCAGACAAAATTACAGGGCCTTCCAGTCAGGCTGTTCCCATCATCTGCTTAACTGTATTAAATTAATAAGAAAAATTGATAGTGTGCCACAGTGGCTTCCCAAGTCTCACTAGCAGTAGTGGCTTTGCCAGGATTTGAACCCAGGCTGCCACTGTAGCAGGTGAGAATTCTACCGCAGAGCCACTAAGGCTGTTGCTAGGTTACCAATTCTCGGCTAGGTCAGAACCTGTAGCACTGCGGCAGCAAAGGCCACTCTCATGTGCCGCTGTGGGCACGAGGTATGGCCTGTGGGAAGTCGAAGCCACCAGACTGAAAGACACGCAGAGCGACTCTGACAAAAGCAACGAGCTGGGGGTATCTGAGTTCTGAGTTTTTTGGCTCAAAGAAGATAAGCTCCAAAAGGCGATGGGCACCGTGTGCCTGTGTGCCCTGCTTCTTAAAGGGGGGTGGTAACAAGGGGAGGAAACAGCAGCCAACCAATGGGATAACACCTAGGGGTGGTAACAGGGGTGACACGCAGGGGAAACTTCCAATGAGGTAGGAGGGAGGGAGGGGACCCCGGAGACCAGCCTATCACTCGAAGCCCTGGATGGAACTTTCTAGGTGGAAGGGAGAGGTCTCTGAGAGACAGGCAGGCTCCGGGGTGTGGTGGTGGTGGTGGGGGGGGGGAAGAGAATAACTCAGCAGGAATACAATGAACTGGGTGGTGGGAGGAATGACAGGCAGACGGAGGAGGGAGGAGAAGGAAGGCTGGACCATTTTACAAAAAGAGGGGGACAGGGAGCAACCATAACTGGGGGGAAACTTAAAACACTCCAACATTAGCGTGTGTTTAAAATTATTTGGCGATACATGCTTGTACACAGAAGTGTGGGGCAGTAAAGAGGGAAAAGTTCCAGCTTCATATACTTGCAGGACAGAAGCAATTTCAGTAACCCATGTTGTTCCTTTAATGTATAACCTCTATGTCTTTCAACAGAATGCCTGATGTTAAATGTCTCAATGTTTCTCAAGCAGTTAAGCTTGTCACTATTCTGGTTCAGCTGTGGCTAGTAATAGTAGTATTAATAAAAAATGAAAGAAAATTGAGCCAGGGAAACATTGCCTTGGATTTTTGCTGTCTCATGAGTGACCTGCAGACACAGATATATATTTAGTCTATTCTGATGTAAGCTTCTATTATTCGTGTTTCTTTCATCTTGCTTTTTCATCTCAGTAGAATTGTAATACGTGTTCTGGGTTTAGGCAATGAGCTTGCAAGATATAGCACACAATATAGCATGTTTAATATTCATAAATAACTAAGCTGACTAAAATTTGGTTTTAAGGCTTTTAAGAATTGTTGCAGTATGGTAATAAAAATATCTGATTTTTTTCCAATTTAAATAGTAAAATCTTAGTTTTTGTCAGTTCAGAATTATTGACATTCAGAAACAAATGGTTTTATAAGATCTGAAACATTCTTTTTCCACAAGTATTTTATCTGCATCTTTCGAGAAAGTAAAATATTTGAGGTAGTAGTATGGAACTGTGATATGATTTATGGAACAGGTAGGTAAAATTGTAAACATTTTAAGTGTTACTCATTGTTTAACTACATTTTCCTTTACCTTTACTTACCAAACTTTGCAAAGTCAGGTTTTTGGAGGCTTTAATCAGACTCAACTCAAATATCAAAATATCTAGTTATAAAATCTCAAGCAAATACATCTGGGAAGAGTGTGGGGAGCTGAAGTGGTTACAAGAGAAGGTGAATATAGAAATCTGTAAGGCTGAAACTCTTGTTTTATGTATAAATAAATTAGTGATGAAAAACATTTGTGTAGAGTACACTTTGTAATTTGAACAAAAAAACATCCCAGTTCATACACATTTAAAAATTCCCAGCAGATAATTCAATTACTGAACCATTCCCTTGAGTTACCATTTTGGCAACCTGGAGCCTTCTCTCATCAATTCTCATGTCTCTAGCAGCTGACCACGCTTCTCCTTTAATAGGAGACACACAGAATGGTCTTCAATCTGCTTTTTTTGAGATTTAAAATTAATTCCATGTTAGATTTGTTTCCATGTAAAAAGGTGCTGCGTAAAGTCTTTACTTCTATTCATGGCCACAGATATTTCCCTGCAGATTCCTTTTGTCCCACTTGTCTACACGTACTACGGAGTTTGTAAAGGAAAATGGTTATTGATTATCCTTTGTCTAGAAGAGCACTTATTTTCAGAGTTGCATGCCCAATTCAGGCCTGAAATCAGAATTTGACCATGAAGAATGCTTCTAGAAGGATGGTTGCTGTAGGTTCGAATTATTAATATGTATTTGCATGTTACTGCTCTTTACAGCCAGCTGTTACCAACAGTGATATCATGTTCGTTAAAATTCACTGTCCGTGGGAGACATTGTGCAAATATGCAGAAAGAATGAACATCAGGATGCCTTTCAGGTATTGTGGGAACTATTTTAAGAAATCTATGATCTAGCGCTTAATTTTGAAAGTTCATCACTTACTCAAGTCTAAAAATGCAAGTCGTTACTGCTCTGTAGCCAGGCTTGCTCATAATTATTTTAGTGATGTGATGGGGAGAGTGGAGAAACAAATAAGTCCTGTTCTTTATCATTTTTACGCAGTACTCTGTGTTTCTTGTCTTTAAACTTGCCTTCTAAATCAAATTGAGCATATGTCTTTTAGAAAACAGTAGTTCACACATTGTTTTGGATGTTCTTGGCAGAGTTTCAGATATTCTCCATCTGAGCTTGAGTATCCTCCATGATTTTAGGGTTTTTCTGGAGTCTTACTGAAAGGCTGGTGAAATGACAGAAAGTGTCTTCTATGTCTCCAATATAACACATATTGTCACAATTTGAGTAAACTGACGTCCAGTACCTTTCTTTAGGCAGAATAATGGCCTGAACTGAGTTCCTTATCTGAATGCAAAACAAGTTCTATCATATTGACAAATTAATATTTATTATTAATCTGTGGGACAGGTTAATATTTTCTGCAACAGCACCTAAGTCTTTAAAGGAGAAAATGTGTCTTTTCAAATTGATTAATAATTAGAGAGAGAAGAGCATACAGTGTGCTGTAAACCTCCCCATGAGTTAAATTGGTAACTAGGTGCCAAAGCTGTGTGACCCTTGGAAAATGAGCTTGCAGCACTCCTTTCCCCCTCAAACTGCCATGTGCTCAGTCTTTTATGCTATGGCGCTGTGGCTTTCTTGCATTGGTCAGAGAGAAACAGTGATTTGTGAATCATCATTTCTCAAATCTTGCTCCATATATCCAGTTCTGTAGTGAGTTTTCACATCATCCCATTAAGCCTCCAAAGGCCTTTCCGCAAAAAAATGTTTTTTTAAACATAAATGTGTTTTTTAAACATCTTCAATGTGTTTAAATATATTATTACAGTCCTATTTGAGTTTATCTAGTTCAAAAAATACTTGCCAGTATATTAAATATAGGAATGTTTATGTATGGGTATACACACTTAAATAATCAAAATTGCAATTAAATTTTTTTTTCTCCTTTTGATACATTAATTAACAAAATTGTGTTTTAGCAATGGTTTGAATTTTTCATAATTTTATTTACTTTATAGATCTATAGTGCTCTCAGGACAAAAAAGGCTGGCTTTTGCAATCCTGCTTTATTTGGAAGGCATTCTATGTCATTTTTTTGTTTGTTATATTATTAAAAGCCACGTAAATATATTCTCTTAGTGTTTCTCCAAAGTGCTTTGGCTTCTTTTTATCCAATTCATTTCAGTAAACCAAAAGTAGATTAAATACTAATTTTTGCTGTTTCACCTTTTTGGTAGTTTTCTGTACAATGAAATACATATATTAGGGAAGAAAATTTTCCATCTCTGCCTCCATAATAGAACTGTGAGAAACAGTAAATTGGTCAGTATTTCTGTTATCCTTAAGATGACTTTAATAGGAATTTAAATTGCAGCCTAGAATTTGTGTGACTATTTCAGTATATATCTTGAATTTCTGTACCTTTTAAAACAGAAGACTCAACACAATTCTGGTACAACCACAAGCTCGATATCGCAGAATAGAATGATGGTCTGCCCTGCATTGCCAGCAGCCTTTCTAAAGTGTCCCCTACAGGAGATAAGCAGTTTTTTATGATACCTTCTCTATTTATAGAAGCCCATGCCTTAGAAACTTGCTGAGACAGAGTTCAAGTCTTCATCTTTGTTCAAATTTGCCTGGATGGCTTTTTCATGGATGCCATGAATATGCCAAAATATAAATTTGCACTCCTTTAACAACATCCTGTGACCACACATTTTATAGTTTAATTACATATTCTGTTAAGAGCACCTGTGTTTGAAGTGTTGAACTTGCTTTTTTGAACGAAACGTTTCCTACCTGGATTGTGTATATTGTTTTCCTGAGGTAACTATTCAATGGACAAAGGAACCTCAAATGTTACTACTCTTCCACAATTAGTGATTACTCAGTGAACTAGAGTATCTTCCTCCCAAAAAGTTTTAGGTCATCCTTAGGTAGATTTAAGTAGGCCTAAGAGGAAAAGAGTTGGACTTGATGATCTTTGTGCATCTCTTCTTGCTTGAGATGTTCTGTAATTCTAAAAAGTAAATTATTTCTTGTAAACTTTACCTGTTTCATCAGTGGTTTCTGACTGGTTCTTGTACAAGGTTAAAGATGACAGATAACCTTCCCTGCAATATTTTAATGCAGTATACCTGTTTGCTCTTGCACAGCCTTGCAAAATTTTGACTTTAAGTTATGGTCACTAAAATATACTATATGTCAATATCACATATGAATAACTCATAAAGAATTCAGTTAAAACATTTTAGTTTTGTTTCGCTCAGTCCAGGAATCTAAACAAAATCACCAGAATTATTATCACACAGTTTACTTCTCTCTGTTTCTGAAAAGTAGAAATACTTTTGAGATTCACCCAAAACCCCAGAACTGTTTTAGCATGGAATTATACCAAAATGTGTTGGCAGATATATAATATGTCTCATATATGTAATAAAGATGGAATCTCAGTATTTCAATTGAAGAATGAATTTTTTTCTAAAATTTCAATAGACATTGTGTGGTCATCATTATTGTCTTGTATATATGGCTGACTTTGCAATGCTACTTCATTTGGAAGCATATGTACATGGTTTCAAACAGTATTTGAGTAAGGATCAGAGCTAGGTCATGACTGAATTATAATTTTTAAACTTTTATGGGTATTTTTGTTAAGTATATGGTCTGTCAGTAGAAATATAACTACTATATGTTTCTAGAACTGACAAATCTTTAATTTTGTTTACAAATATCTTGCAACACATGATTATTATTGTTTGTAGTTAATAAGTTATTTGTATCAGTTACAGCTGAACTGCATCTGTGCAAAACAGCTAAGGGTAACTAAAGGGAATTAAGTAAGGGTTTTGTTAAAAAAATGTCTGAAAACCCTTTAATAACCCTTCATTGCTTCATTTACAATCCTGCTTAGCAATACCAAGTGTCAGGCTGCCAACAGTCTGCAGATTGGTAGATACAAAATTTTCCAGTAGCCATGTATTTTCCAGGCAAGTCTTTCACCCTCTTTTTAATGTATTAATTTCAGTGGATCTTCAGTGTAAGTGTAATGTACTTTAATAAATCTTAAATACTGCCCAGGTGTGCAGTTGCAGATCTTACTAACTCCTGAGGAATCTGCAATATCAAAGTTTTTGTGTGGTTGAAATGTTATGTGAAATTATAGGAGGAGGCCAGGAAAAAAACCTGAAAGCCTGAAACTAGATGTGGATTAATATAACCATGCGGCAAATACATCTCCATTTGGTTTCAAAATAACTCAGAAGACTTCACTGGGAATTTCTGGTTTTGTTTCTCTAAGTGTCTATAACTGGTGAAGGGTGAAGAAAAAAGAACTGTGAAGTGACTTATTGATCAGTAATCATTATTGTCAGTAGCTACAAATCTAAAATGTACTTTTAGAACAAACTTGAAAAATGTGAAACTATGTTATTGCAAGGCTTATTCTATTTCAATTGCCTTTTAAAAGTGTTTTTTCATGTTTTTGTCTATAAAAATGCATGTTTTAAGATGTCTAGCATTCTTTTGTAACATATATGTATTTTTCAACTGTCTCCTTGATTAATCTCAGCTGATTTTTCTGTTCTTGCAGGAAAAAATGTTATTACACTGACTGGAGGAGCAAAACCATGGGCAGGTTGGTGGGTGATGTGCAGCTTCTAATTTCGTCAGATAGTAACCCTGCTAAAGAAAACCCATTCTCAGTTGTAAATTTATCCATAAAACTTGGAAAATTAGATTATTTTCATGAAAACTCAAAATATGTCAGCTCAAAGTGCTAAAATATTCATCTGCAACAAGGTTGCAGTACTTTAAAGCTTTGCCAGTTCTCATTTTACAAATGTAAAAATGTTTATGCCAGGGAAACAAACGAAAAATAGACCTTATCTTCGCAGGAAGGATTTAATACCAGATCTATCTCTGCCCTTACATCTGCTGACAACAAGGCATACTTCTCTAGCATGAAGGATACTTTTGGGTGTTTGTCTCAGATTCTGGCAGTCAGCTACTTCCTTAGATATGCTAACATACTTTTTTCTCCTGCGTGTTCTTGTGATCAGGAACAAATTATTGCCACATGCTGAAGGCTGCTTTGAATTTTTGTTTGCTGGCTGAGAGAATAACTTGCAAATCTCACTTGTAGCTAGCTGCTGCTGCTGTTAGTGTTTTTGTCAGCCAGAAGAAGCGTACAAGAGGCCATAGGGGCAGGGGAAAGGAGCCTGGGAGTGCTTGGGAGTGAGAATGGGGGGACACTGTAATTATGTCTGACTAAAGTGATGGGGAGCTGTATTTACTCCCCATCACTTTAGTCAGACATAATTAGGTCTTGTAAATCCTAATCCCTAGCAGAAAAGATACATGAAAATATTCCACATAAGGGAAATCTCCTGAAAGAGTTCCCTGTCACAGGTTTTCTTGAGATGGATCTTGAAATGAGATCCCTTTTGATTTAGGTTCTCCTATTGATACTTATAATGGTAAAGAGCTCTCATGTCTCTGGAACAATTTAGAGACTCTCATGATAACAGTTTCCAGGACGATAAGCTAATGACAACAGAATGTTGAAGTGAGAAAAATTTAAACATATAAGCTGATATAATATGTTGAAATAAACCAATTTATAACATAGATTTACAACTGCGTTTTGTCCTCTTCCCAGTTCACGTGCTTACTCCATTTTAGCATGCATTATGAAAAGTCTAAGTGATGTGCTTGCAATAAAAGGCAGAATCAACAAGCTTTACTTCGAAATTGTCTCATTTCAACTATAATCCATCTGGTGGGTCCTGGATATTACATAAATTTTGTTTTCCTTATTTAGAAGGATAGATGTCTGAAAGATGCAACTTAAGTTGCACAGTACCTGTGAATCAAGTAATAAGCAATTTCCATGCCCGGTTGATTTTGTATTTGAGATAAATGCTTTTACCTGTGATATACTTTGTGAAAATTTGAGTATGAATATTTTTATGCATATATTTTCTGGCACTTTTTATAATTCAGTGCATAAAAGAACAAAAGAAATAGAGAAGCTATATTTAAAACTCAAAGCTAACTTTAAAATTGCTGACATACGCATCACATGCATAGTTTAAGTCCTACAACTGTCATTGTTACCTTGCATCCTTCTTACAACTTTTCAAACTTAACTGCTTCTCTGTAATTTATTTAATCTCTTGTTAAAATTTCTAAGTTGAGTTTATATGAGCTACAGTGAAGAACTATATTCTTGTATATCAAAATATTAAGGTTATAAAGTTTCTATGATTTAAGAATACAAAGTAACAGACCTGGTGTGACATGTACATTTTTCTAACTTTATTGACATGGTTATATGATAGATATATATGTATCTATAAATGTTCTTTAAAATGTCTGCAAAAGATTATTAGGTGCGTTAATGAAAGTACAAGAAAAATGTAATACTTAATTTCTTTTATATGGTATCTATGTGGTGTCTCTCTATTTATTTATACACCTTTTAAAAGCCCTTAACATTGTATTTAGTTCTATGAAGCTTGATTTCTTTCCATAGAATCACTCTATAGAAATAAATCTATAATACTCATTATGACCAATATTTAGAAAGCCTTCCTCTTCCCAAAGGAAAGAAATATGCATATAAGTAGGGTAGGTATCAAAAAACATCTGAACTCTTTGACTGAAGATTGAATAACCTAGTAAAACTGTCTTGTAATTGCCACATTTGGACCTGCTGATTTCATGCTGGTAAAGGATGGCATCAAGGAAAAGAAAATTAAAATATGGTTATCTTAGAATGCAGCTTCATTCTGCTCACTGAAATGTTAAAATCACTTAATACTTCTAAAGATAGAGAAGCAAAAATAACTTTATTTAGCACCTGACCCGCAGTAAGTTTGCTTTGCGAAAGGACTTTTAAAATCTTTGGGACTTCAGTCTGCACACTGAAGTGGAATTGTTGATATCATTGCATTAAACAAAGGTATGATAATTTTCTTCTTTTTTTAGTGATGATTGTGTCTATAAGCTGAATCTGTCAACCCTAACATGTTTCCCATTACAGTACATGGAAACACATCACGCCCAAGTAACTTGGTGGCCTATAGCTGACACTTCTGGCCAGTCTTGGGAGACACAAACACCAAGCAAACTGCTGGGTGATGATTGCTGTCAAAGCTACCTAATATAACTGGTGGAGCTGCTTAATTCTGGTATCTCATTCCATGAGTTAGGTAGATAATGCTAAGATCATCTATATACTGTGCTCCTTTACAATGCAGTCTGTTGAGTAAACATAATCTGCAAGGATTTCTGTATTAGCTTGTTCTGCAAAAAAAGAATAACCAACCAAATAGATCAGAATGGTACAACTGAGAATGGGAGTCGAGTAAAGCTGAAATTAAAAGTATCTTCATAAAATATTAAATTGTATAGCTAAGAATGCAATGCACAAGTATTTCAGGGTGCTATCCCTTGGTCCAAGGTGCATAGTGTTCCAGTAGCTTCAGCTGGTGTGGTTTCAATAAAAGCTTACTTGAAGCAGCATCCCATAACTTTGCATTACCATTCCACTGCGACATTTTTTTATCTCGTTGCCTGAACTACTGAATTCCCCAGACCAGCTCTGTCTGCTTTTACTGTCACTAAATAGGCTACGTTGAACAGATTAAGTCAGGAATATGTTTAAACTGCTGCTTTTAACCTAGAAAGCCACTCTGAGTAAAAATGCTAATACTTAGTCCTATGATTTAGGCAAAAATTTGTATTTAAAGGCAAGCTCCATGAAAATTCAGTTTCTTCGTCAAACAGTAAAAAAACATAAAATTTTTTTTCTCTGGGATCATTTTTATACATTTCTCAGTTGCAATATTCTATGCTATCTAGTGCTAAAGACACTACATTTTGTCACAGAAGAGAAACTGCAAATGTAATGTGGACACAAGCATTAATTTATTCCAATCCTGCTTTTCATGTTAAAAGAAGAAGCCATGAATTTCAAACAAGAGCTGTCTTCTTTAACATAATATTCATCTACATTTTTAAAGATTTTTGTATGGAAGAAATGATCAAGACTTTTCTCATAACCAATTTTAAAGTACTTTCATAATAAAAAAATCTGAAATTAGATACTGTTTTTCTCTTCTTCCCGATGCATCTGCATATCTTCCTCATTAAAAAAGAATTCTGGATTTTGACTAAAAAGTGAGCAAGTGTGCAACAGAAAAAAGGGTTCAAGAGAGTAAAGGGGAAACTTCACTTACATAAACTGTACTAAGAGAGCTTCCACTAGAACTCACTAAGGTATTGTTAAGGAGACACTTAAAGAATCCACATGCCTGTGAATTGTATCCTGTGTTTCAATTTAATGAACATGTTATGTTCTTTGGGTTACCACTGTAAGCCAAAGTCGTGTTGGTGTGAAACACAGGTGGTGTCCCTCAAGTGAACTATCAGCTACAACAGAATGTGCACCAATATCTTGCAATCTATACCAAGAAGAAAATTTTGAGAATTTTAAATGTAACTGTAAAATCCTTCTCCCACATTTGGCTGAAATTTCTCTCTGATACTGTATGAAATATTTTTGCTGATGTTGATAAGAAGAAGTACATTTTCATAAGGATCACTTTGTTGCATGGGATTATGTTCATTCATATTATGAAATAATGTTAATGCTATGAAATATAACTTTTTTATTATAGACATTATGAAATGTGTAGCTGTGCTTCTGCTTAGCACAGACAATGAAGTATTCACCTCAGAGAAAAGAATTTGTTGCTTAGCTTTACACTTCTTGTGGATGTAAAGTATATATGCTCTGTATATCATGGATACACATTCATTGAGTAGAATCCAAATTCCACTGGAAAAAATACTATTTAGGGGATGTTCTTCTCAAATTTAGACTTTTTCTGAATTTCTGATGTGCTTTTTCTGTCATGATATAGCACATTTAATTTGAGATCTACTCCTTAAACAACCATTTTGCATTGAAATTGAATATGAAAAGGTATAGGTGAGCAAGGAGGGCAAAGTTGAAGTGAGAATTTGCTTGAAAATTTACTGCACTTGACTAGATTTACCTCTGTACAAATGATGTTCCTGAGACATCATTTAGGCAAGGTGCCAGTAGAGAAAAAAACATTTATGTTGCCAGTATATATTTTAATTGAAGATATATCTTTGATGTTCTGTTTGTGTTTTGTGGTATCTATTTTTAAGAATCTGGAGGAAACAATATCTAGGGAGTTTTTTTGCCTAAATACTGCATAACCATTTTGGTGTAACATATCCTTTATTTTATTTGATGTTTAGGTATACTGTTTCATAAGGCAATATCAGCTCTTGGATTTTTAAGAAAATTTTGCAGGGGAAAACTTTGTTGCAATCAGAAAACTATAATCTGATCCTTAATACTCTCAAATATACTTAAAAATTTTATGAATTTTAGTGTCCACATTGCAAGAGAGCAGGGGGGAGCTTCACCTGCGTTGTTCAGTTCAGCTAGATATATTCTTGGCTAAAACATAAGCATCTACAGTTCTGCTAGATGAAATACCTTGGGAAATTAATTTCTCCAGACTCAATACTGCAGTCCCATTTTGAGCCATAATCACATTAATTTTAGGATGAGTTTTACACAAGTGAAGTGTTCAAGATGGATTGCAAATAAATATTGTTCATTTTGTTTTTTGACTCCTTATATTCTTTTATTTACTTAATGTGGATAGGTTCCTACTTTCATTTAATTTCATTTCTAGTACAATGTCAATAAATATGCAGTGCTGGTGATAGAAATGATAAGGAATTGAGAGCGTGTAAATCTGACTTCTTCTTGTCTCAGTTTGCAGAGGAATATTAGGGAGCTGAAAAGCTGGTTGCCAAGAAATCCCATGAAGCTTGATAAGGAGGCCCTGCCTGATCTGGAGGAAACAGATTGCTACACAGCCCCCTTCAGCCGTGCTCGCATCCACCAGTGAGTGCTGTGGTGGAAAGGCAGTGCCACAGACCACAAGGGTTTTCTGTTTCTCACTTCTAAGCAAGGGCCAGAGAGGTAGTTGCTAACAGATGGTCCCTGGCAATACCAATTATCAGATTTGATTTTATTCTCTTAAAGTGAAAATCTGCTCTTTCTTACTTGCTATTTGATGGTCACTCAGTAACATAATCTGAAATTTGATGGAAAGATGACTGTTGCCATTTTAGTTTAGAAGTTTTTTGTTCCCTTACATTACAAAATGCAAATACTTGCTAAAATTTTCTGTGCTTATTACTTACTTTACATAGGCAAAACCTGTTGAAATTTGGAACACCAGAAGCAAGCTAAGACCAGTAATGATTTTTTTTCTCTCTTATCAGACATGCATTTAAAAAGATCTATTGCCTCTGAAAATACAAATATGTATACAACAAAACTATATGTGTTCATATCAGCATGTTGACGATGCTATATTTAAAATGTGACATACATTTTTTTCAGTACCTATAAAGTTAGGTTTAAAAATTCTGTTTCTTACTTTTAAAGTTATTTTCTGATAACTATTTTAGGAGAGAAAAGTTAATTTAGAAATATGAATTAGGATAAACAGGACTTTTTTCCAGTCAGTGAAGAACCTAAATGGTAGTGAACTGACTTTACCCCAGAAAAACCGAGTAATGGCATTAGAGTCTCAATTTTTTTTTCCCCAGTAATTATCATACTTCACTGGATCAATCCCCTGACTTTGGTGTTTTTTTCTCAATCAGCTTAGCTGATGTAATTAATTGTAGGAGCATTGCTTTTGGCACAGCTGAGCAGGAAGAACCTCCTGCATATCAGATTTCTCATGTCCAGAATGGAGCCATCTGGCCACAGTTGCTTTACTTAGCTCCATCCTGGGATCCTCTAAGGGAAAATGGTTGTGGAGATGCTTCCCAAGTCTCCAGTGCATGGATATGTATTTTTTAATAGTAATTTTGGTGGATCCACTGCACAACAACTGTCAACTCCTAAGTAATTTAAATTTAAGGCCACCACTGTTACTGAAGGTCTTTATTGAATTAATTATATCCAGAACAGAAATTAACTAGGTAATAGGATATTTTTGGTTTAATATGTCATAAGGATAACTTTTTTGGACCTGCTGTAATGGTGTATAACCTTATGTCTAAGGAATGTAAACACCCAATAAATCATTGTAAAAAGAAAACACTCGGACAGCTATGTTTCAACATTTTTTGTTTTCAATATTAAGATATTCATTATTTTAATAGCTTTACAATAAACAACAAAGACAGCTTCTTCAGCAATTCCACAAGAAGTAGAATTGTGCATCATATGCTACAGAGAACTAAGTATGAAGATGGAAAATCCAAAATGGGTGAGAATGCTGTATTTTTTACCAAACCCAAAGCTATAAAATTTTTCATTGTCAATTGCCAGGAAAAATATAATTTGAATGAACTTAGTTTTTTCCTGTTCTTGAAAGCTTGTCATTGACTCAGTAACAGAGTTGAAACAATGTCCCATCATTTTCTACCTAAATATCTCCATGAAAATTTGTAATATTTTTCACTTAATTACTCATTCATTAAAATAAAATGGAGAGATTATCATAACTTTAAATTATTGAGAGCTACAGTAAGGGTTACATATACCTCAGAAAGCTGACAGTGTTTTCAAGGACTGATCCTAGTATTTCAGCTTCTATCCATCCCTTTCAGTCTGGTAGAATCAATATGTGCTACACTTCATTTATTTGAGGTGTAGAATCAATGTGTGCTACACTTCATTTATTTGAGGTGACTGTGTAGCTAAGAGACAGCTGATCTAGGACTGAATTCAGTTTATATCAACACTCATAACACAATGTTACTTTTTAAGAAGTCTAACTACCAATTTTCATTTTCAATGACCAGGGGATGTTTGCATGATTTTCTGGTTTTTCAGTGGGAGTTAAATTAAAGATTAAATATGCAGAGGCTTGGATGATTCCAATTACAGAAAACTGTTGCTTGAATTTCTGAACAAATGCAGTAGTAAGAAAACCAGGAAGAATAAGTATTCATATCTAACACCTTCACAGCTGTTGATGGCAAATTTCATTATAAGATTAGTATAATATGAATATTTGAAGAGTATAATATGAATATTTGAAGAGACAAATCTGTATTCCACCATACCTACCTGTTTCTTGAGGAAACCTTTGGCTGCAGATTGGCTCTTAAAGGCTATTGGATATTTTTGTTGAACCTATCAATGGTTGTTTATTTTTCCAATTTTTATAATCTGGTTTTAGGAAGAATCTAGGGACTGATTCAAAATACAGTAGTCAGTCTGGCACAGAGCACTGCTCTGATAGAAAATTGTCAGTTGGCTTATATTTAAAAATACCAGGTTTTAGCTGGTATTAAATCCCTACCTAATAGCTTTTAACCCTGCAGGGGTTTCACTGCCTCAAGGATTGTCCATCCATACCACTTTGTGTATATCAAATGACACCCATAAAATCTGAATTATGTGCTCTGAAGAATACAGTGTGAATGTAACTATCTTCTCAGAGTCAATCTGGTACAAGCACTCAATCCTGAGAGAAAGTTTTTGGGCTTTGGTGGTTTGGCAAGTTGCTCTCTAGTTTGACAGAGCCAAAAATCTTAAAGGATCAGCAGTACCTGCTAGAGTAGTTGGTGGGGTTATTGATTGTCATCTTTAGCAGCATTCTTATCATTTAACACTAAGTTCCATTCTCCAAATATAACTTGAGTATTCACGTGACTTGAAAAATGTAGATGAAAAATTTATATCAGATCTAATGCTTTTTTGTTTTTTTTTAGGTATTAATAGGTTACTAAATAATGGAACATATGAAGCAGCATTTCCACCACATGAGGTAACCTGGTTAATTTGATTTTCAGTTTCATATTTGGATTGAATCTTCCCTTAGTGATTTGGGATCTTACTTTAATTCTGTCTTGCAAACTTTTAATTTCGTATTGTAATTTGTTGATGCTTCTTTTGTTTATTTTACTTTAATATTGGCTTTTAAAATTTTCTGTATTTGGATATTATAATAACATCCTGGAACGTTCTCTGGTTGGACTAGGATATTATAATTATTTTCTGATTTTTATGAACTGGACATTGCCTGTTGCACTCTTAAGGAGAGTATCAGTTGTTCCAAATTGTTCCAGTTAGTTGTATTAAATTATTTTTGCTTGTCATTTACAAAAGCATTTGTTTTTCTAATAGCTTTATCACAGTTGGTGAGACTGCTTAACTATGTCCTGTTTAGTATTTTAAGAATAGTTCTGGATAATTTCTACTTGGCAATACTTTTCCCAGTAGTTTAAAAGTCTACTAAAGACTGTAAACCCAAAAAATGAACTAAAAACCTGTGTTTGACTTAAGAGGGTTGTCAGAAAATATTCTAATGTTGAAAATAAGAAGCAAGCCACACATCTTCAGTCTTTGAAATGTTCTCAGGAACATGGTAATTGCAGCTCTGAACTCTGGGTGTTTCAGCTGAATATTGTGACTTGGTTTTGTGTTTCAGAGGCTTTACAAATGGCTGAGAGTAATTTTTAAATTATTAAGTACTTTATTTTTAATAATTAATTACTAGAAATGCAGAGAAGGCGTATTTTAGATAAATAATGTAACATCATTGTTAATACTTCAGCTGTGCATTATTGACTTCAGGGGAAAGCTGGCTGTACTACCACAGAAGCCCGTGAAGCTTTCTCTGGCATCAAAGCCATGCTGTCATATCCATTTTATATGTTGCTTTGTTATGGCATAACCTACTGTTTCCACATCTCAGTAAAAATTAGTGAAATCATAATTTTAAGCTACTCTTACTTTAATTGCTCCTTGACTGATGCTAAGGACTAGTGGTGGATTTTTTTTTTTCCCCCACATGAACAAATAAGAGTGAAAATTCAATCCCAGTGGTAATGCTGAGACTTGAACTCTTTTATGGATAACAGTGCAGAAAGAAGTGGAAAACAAATTAAAACATGTAATACTAGGTAATGCTTTGCAGTCATTTTTCCAGCCTGCTGTGAGAATAAGTTGATGTTCTCTTCCTACGTGTTCTTAGATGCTGCAAAGGTCACACTCAGTGCTGACATCTTTGGTTTGCTGCTTTGCTGACTGTCAGGAGAAAGGAGTAGACTTGGACTCTTTGCAATATTTAGCTTTGGTTTTAACTCATTCTTAAGTCAGAGAATCAGCAGATTGCAACAAGCTGATGGTGTTCTTTGAACTGTGAGGAGTGCTCAAGATTTCAAATGCCTGATAAAAATCTTAATGGCTTAGTTACCTGCATCTGCCAGGGTCAAGAAATCTGTCTGATCACTAACTGAGGTAGGTGCTAGAGAGCTCTGCTCTCTTCACAGGAAATTACTCAGCTCACTTGCAGTCAATTGATGAAATATTTTCTTTACCATAGCTGAGTGATGGAAGTTTTTTTGGGAAAAGTTCAACTAAAGGATATATCCCGCTTCAGAACTGGAGCAAAATTACAAATGCAAGAGATTCTGCTCAAGATTATTCTAGCAAATGTGTGTGATACCTTTCGACTGCCTAGCATGAGGCTATTCTTTTAGTCTCTTAGGTGGTCTGTAAATGTCAGACTTGGCCTGGAAGGATTCCTTTTGGATCGGACTGATTCTGTTTTGCTTTTAATGCCTCCAGAGTCCTATGTAGTTTCAGAGTAATGCCATTTCAGTTTCCTTCATCTTAGAAAGTATGTACCACAGAAAGAATATATTTTTCTATATGTTCAACAATAGTGAAAGAAAGTGTTAGAAAATGTCTAGGAGAAGAGAGCTGACATACTAGAAATTTCTAAAATTTTATAGAAGAAATAAAAATATATCACAAGCATGTCTTGAAGAATTTAAATAGGCAAAAGCATATAAGTAGGCATCTATTAGTGAAATAAAACCAGAGCTGACTACTTATTTAAAGTCTTGTATTAATATATTTCAGTCATTAATTATTAGAGAAACTGGCCATTTCAGAAGTTTATGTAACCCTGCCTCTTATGTCAGGCTTACGTTAGCTCCTGATGACATATTCCAGATGTGCCCAGAATAAGAGACCTATTTATTAAAGAACATTTATATTAAAATTATAATCAAAAATATGTAAAAAACTTCTTCATTTTCCATAATGCCTGGTAATGTACTTACATTTCTTTGTGTTTTTTCTCAGGGAAGCCACAAAAGCAGGCATCCCATCAAAACACATGGAGCACAGAATCACAGACATCTCTTGTATGAGCGCTGGGCACGATGGGGAATGTGGTACAAATACCAACCTCTTGATTTAATCAGGTATTAGTACTTTGAAGATTTCCTCTGGTACAAAAAGACTGGCAACAGTGGCAACTGTATTCATAAATTCCTTATGCTTTCCTTATAGCATTTAGTTAGTCCCTATTATTGGATAAGGCTGGAGTTCTCTCGGTTGCTTATTTTGGGTGGTCTTTTTTAGGTTAATTTCAAATGAGTCTGCTTGAAGAACATGTAGTTCCAACTGCTCAGGAATTTTCAATGTGAAACTTAAAATACAAACCCATAATGTGGTCTGCTGATCAGAGACACTTGTCCCTTGCGGAGGGCATCTTTGGAAGCAGACTCTTATCCACATGGACAGTCAGAGTTAGCAGATGCAGAGGACTTAAAATGTAACCTGATTTTAACCTTTCCATGTGGGTTTAAATAACTCTTATTTATATGTCTTAGACTTAGTGTCATAGGTTACCAAATGTAAAATAAAGAAATACATATCATTTAAGTTAAATAATGGTGATGTTTGGGTTTCACAGTTTCCTCCTCTGACACTGAATACCAGTAATTCAATCTCTTGCTGTAAGTTTTTATTACTGATCTGAATCATAACTGATTATTGGTAGATTATATGTGTGCCATGGGACAATTTTATGCTGTAACGTCCTTGATTGACTTTCCGATCACTGCTATTTCATCTGTTCTAGCAATTGATACCCGAGTTTTGAAGAATTAAAGTTCAGTCTTCAGCTTGTGGTTTCAGAGCATTGTTTTCACTAATATTAGTTGGAAATGTGGCATATTATCTATGTATGATTATCTATCATAAATGGTTTTTAAATTGAATACTTAGGTCATACTAACTTTATCCCTTTCCAGATTTTTGTGTCTGTGTACATCCATCTATCTATCTATCTATTGATCTATCTATCATCCATCTATCTATCTATCTATCTATCTATCTATCTATCTATCTATCTATCTATCGATCAATCTATCTATCTATCTGTCTATCTATCTATCTATCTATCTATTCTACATTTAATAAGGTTGCTACCAGTCCATCTACACAGTCATTGCAGGGACATGAAAATTACAGAGGCACTACAATTATATCCATGTTCTCATAAATCTGCAATTAGTGTCACTAAAATACTATGTTAGCCTGAAAAAAAACCTGTTTGGTAAAGTGACAATTTTGCCATAAACTTGTAATGATAGTTCCTTGTTAGAATTATTCTACTACTGTGGCAGTAAAGAGAGATAGAGGTCACCATAAAATTTAGTTTTAAGCAATATATGTGTTTCCTTTTCATGTAGGCGATACTTTGGTGAAAAAATTGGACTGTATTTTGCCTGGCTGGGATGGTATACTGGAATGCTTATTCCTGCTGCTCTGGTTGGGCTCTTTGTTTTCCTCTATGGATTATTTACAATGGATTCCAGCCAAGTAAGGTAAAATTCTATTTAATAATATGTAATACCCTATTGTTAGTTAAGAACAGTCTGGCACAACTTAGATTGCTGTACTTTTAAATGTTTTGGAGGTATGGTAATAATGTAAGAATTACCAAAATAGAATATTGGGTCTTTGAGTCAAGTATTTACACTTTGTACATTTGTTTTGCATCAAGCCAGATGTGTGCTGCTGGAAGTGGCCATTCTTATCACTCCATTGCAGTGATTCCCACTAAGAAGAAACAGACACGTCTGTAAGGGCCAGTGCTCATGTCTTCACTATTGCAGATACTGCAGTAGTGGCTGATCTAATTAAGGCTAATGGGTGAAAAAACAGCCATATTCCCTCATTACCTTCATCTTGCTGTAACTTCCAGAGTGTAGTAAAGTTACTAAACTTCAGCTTCTGCCTATGTCTTTTTTTTCCTTCTTCATTAATAGTGGCAAACTTGGACTCTAACAAAATTCTTATCTGTGCCAATGTAACTTGCAGCCAGGAGACTACGCTTCAGGGAGATTGCAACCAAGTTTTCAAGTTTCCCACTTTTGTGATTTTGCTCTGGGAAGGGTTTATGTCAATTTAGATGTGATGAGCATGCTCAAGTGGTGACAGTACTGCTGGGAACTCTCTGAGGATCCACTGTACTGCAAAGTATTCTGTTAGCTGTTATCAGACAGTATCAGTATCCGGTCTTAAAATTGCAGCTGTTGCTCCAAGCAGTTTGGGTGCTTAGGCTGTATGTACACTTGGAGTCAGATTTTATAGAAAATGTTTCTCTGCCTTTCAGCAAGACTATATTCAAGTTTTATCTAAGGAGTTTTCTTTAACTTCTATTTCACAGTGAGTTATTATATTCTACAATGCTGTTAATGAGCACTTTTAAGCTTGCTTTGTACAGCAAACTCCTGAGAAACTGTAAGAATTCAAACCACATTAAATACAGCTAAATGCAATAAACTTAACAGCCAGGAAATGATTCTATCTTTAAGATACTGTATTAGAATTGCTTTTCATCATGAATGTCTTCAAAATGCAGTGGATCTCAAGTTTGGGATCAGACTGTTCTTAGAGCACAGGGGCCACAGCTGTTGAACTGTCAATTTTGTATTCGTCACATGTACAATGGCACAGTTCCAGCAAAGGGGGAACAAGGGGCCATAATCTACTATTATCAAGATATAGCTTAGTATTTCTTCCTTGTGCAAGTGTGTCATTGGCAGCTCCCTGAGAGAAAGAACAACATTTCTAATAATTTCATTATTTCAAATGGTAAAGCTATTATGTGCTTTAATATCATAGAATCAAAGAATATCCTGGGTTTGAAGGGATTCACAAGGATCATTGAAGTTCAACTCCTGAGCCTGCACAGGACAGCCCCAAGAATCCCACCATGTGCCTGAGATCATTGTCCAAATTATTTGTGAACTCTTGTCAATCTTGGTACTGTGATTTCCTGGGGGATCTGATCCAGTTCCCAGCTGCCCTGTGATTGAAAAACTGAAACCTCCTCTGACACAGCTTCACGCGTTCCTTCTGGTCATGTCACTGGTCACCAGAAAGGAGAGGAAGCTGTTGTATTGCTGTGAGATTCCCCCGTCAGTCTCCTGTTTGCCAGGCTGAACAAGCCAAGTGATTTCAGCTGCTCCTCATATGGCTTTCCCCTCTAGGCTGTTCACCATCTTTGTGGCCCTCTTTTGGAGACTCTCTAAGAGCTTTATATTTTTCTTATATTGTGGCTCCCAAAACTGCACACCATATTTGAGGTCAGGCTGCACCAGCACAGAATAGGACAGGACAATCACCTCCTGTGTGTCATGTGCTTCTTGCAGGAAGACTTGCCGGTATGATTCCTTTTTAACAGAAAAATGCAGTTTTCTTCCTTGCTGAAGGTTGCAGGGTCTTGTAAATGAGCACAGAGGTAGGTTAGCTTTTGAGTGTTTCTGTCCTCAGGTTTTTTTTCCCTTTTCTGCTGCTTAGTAGCTGCAGCATAGACAAAGCACATTGGAGTTTGTCCCTGTGGGGCTGGTTGTATTGGGTCTCATCCTGAGGCACCTCAGTGTTGTGCTGAGGTACACAGTTCCAGCATGCCTGAGGCTTCTGGCCTTTGTGTCAGAAACAAGAGACTGAAAGTTTGGTAAACCCCCATATAAGCCCTATATGCCTAAAAGGGAAGGTGAATATTCCTATATTTATTATAGCTATCATTAGCCAGTGTTCATTTCAAAATACTGCCAGAGAATGGGTTATTGCAGAAGTCCTAACCACGTGCTATGTGGCAGCCCCACATCTGGAATCTGGATGTGTTAATTCTGTGAAGAAGGTGCTACCTGCCTTTGGCTGTGGGAATCTGTGCAATCCCTCTGGTCAGTTGTGACACAGCGCTGTCCAGTGCATTGCTACAGCCATGTAAGAACAGCTGTGAAATGTGAAACTCAAGCTGATTATGCCTGGCCTGATAAAATATATGTAGATATTTTCTGTATCACCTTGTGTACTTAGGCAATTCTAAAGGCCACTGATAACCGATACTACTCCTTGCCATATTTTTTTACTAGTCCTAGATGGTGTTAGTAAGGATTAGACAGAAACTTCATACCTAGAGCAGACAGGAGTCATCCATTAACAGGTAGATGGACTGCACACATGTTCTTATTCTTGCTGTACTCTGGGACTGAGAGATTATTTATCTGGTGTTTCTGCATTCTTTTAAAGAAAATTCTAGATAAGCATCTGTAAGAGTTTTAAAATCTATCATTTGATTTTAAGCACTGCAGCTACCACCATACACAAATGCAGTGTTCAGTGGCAATTTGGAAGAAACAGAATTGGGTATGTGACTTTAAAAAAACCTAAACACAGGAAACCCAGTGGAAATTAGAAATTGAAACACAATGTTAGGGCATTATGGCAATGTCAGAACTGGCATGTTGCCTGAGATTCAGTATTGTCTACTGAACACTGTTTCATGTGGAACAGGTTTATTACACCTGTTATGAGGAATCCACAGCTGTTAGGAAGTGTTTATTTAAGTATGATAAATTCCATCAAATACCCCTATTTTTTTATCTCTCTTGTATACTACAAAATCTGAACTTAACAAATTATCAAATAAGTTTTGCAGAAGGATACTTTCCTCAGTGATGTGCTTTGACCTCTCAGGCACAGGAAGTTGCCATGAGCCCACCTGTAGTGGCTGCAGGCAGGAAACTATAATTTTCTTTTTTTTTCCAGATGCCCAGCACAATTTCAGTAGAGAAGTAATAAGCAAATACAGGAGTATGTACTGCCATAGAACCAAACATTGCTTATTGTGCCAGCCATAGGTTTTGTGCAGCAGTAATTTGAGTGTGATGCAGAATGATGTCACATCTAAGAGTTAGTTTGTCTTGTTTTTGACTTGTCCAAGTACATGCCTCTGCTCTATGCTCAGGGTCTGCTAACAGTTGGCTCTTTGTATCAGGAGCCCACCTCAGCACAAGGCCATGAGTCTCTTCCCACTGTGTAAAAGAAGATTCTCTGTAGTTCATCTCTGGCTGCCACAGTCAAGCTGGAAATTGAAAAGAAGGAAGGGTATCACCAAAAGGGAGCAAATAACCCCCTCTCCTACTGACTTTTGCCTCTTGTTAGTGTGTCTCTCTTCTTTGCAAAATTACATACAAATTATATTATTTGATTGAAATCAATGTAGATATACTGGTGTTGTCTATTCTCTGAACATTTGGTATCTTATAATAATTTAGGAAAATAGTCTGCAAATGCATTTGAAGGGTAGTGGACAGTTTTTTGGTTTTCTGTTTGTGATATCTGGGAGAGAATTTGCTAGTGTGAGAAGTGTAACATGATGTCCAGAAATATTCTGTAGCTGTATGGCCCCTAGTGTTCAGGTTCCTGATTTGGGATTAGGCTTTCCAAGCCAAATATTCACTTTTCATTTATTTGCCCAGTTTTGTGGTGCACGCACTGTGGACAAACAGAGGATATAAATGTCATAACCTCAGAAAATCTTGTGAATGCTGGAAGTGTTTTTATAACCTTTACTTTCCTATCTCATACTAAAGCAAAGAGATCTGCGAGGCAAATGAAACCATTATGTGTCCTATGTGTGAACGCAATTGCACACTACAAAAACTCAATGAAAGTTGCATATATGCCAAGGTAATTATTGTATTATTGCTATCAAGATAATTATGATTGTATAATGAATGGCTGCCCTTGTTTCAACCAAGTTTCCTGAAAAACATGTTGTTTCTCTACAGATGTTGTTTTCAGCCTTTGTAATAAATCTTTCTAACAGGGGAATGCTCTGAAATGATCTGGGGTTTTTCTAAAATTGCTTTCTGTGAGCATTTCCTTATTAATAAATTCTTATTATTTGCATCAACTTATTAATTCCTCTGTGAGGACTCCATAATAAAACTTTCTGTAAGGTTTTTCCTACTTTCCTCTCTAACTATCTTATTATTCTGTTTCCTTTGCTTACTTTGTATTTGCACTTTTGCTCCTGCTTCACTCTGTCAAACTAATGCAAAGATTTTATACAATTAAATATTTTGCTTCAAGAAGCTATCCTTGAAACTTAAATAATCACACCAGAAATTGCAAAATACCTAGTTAGAAGAACAAAATAGAATCAAGAGACAATAAGTATATTGAGGGAGAAAAGAAGAGTTTTTTTTAGCCCATAAAAACTCTAAAATAGAAATGGTTGAGATAAAGTTTGACCTACCATATGACAAGAATTCTGGATGAAATTTTAACCTGTCTGGACATAGACAAAACAGCTCATTGTATGTGAAACAAAATGACTAGTGATGCATGAAGTGATATTCTGGAACAGCAGATTTCAAATTATACTGGAAGTCAGAGTGTGACATTGACAAACCTTGGTAGAAGAGACATGCTGGTAGGACTACTTAGGAGAATGCTTAGCTTTTGTTTTCTGACACCCGTTATGTATTCTGGGATTATTTGGGCCAAAGATGAGGTGGCATTATTAGTTTTTCCTGATGTATTAATTTTTTATTCAGGTTACACATTTGTTTGATAATGGAGGGACTGTCTTCTTTGCAATTTTCATGGCAATTTGGGGTAAGTGCATTTTTACTTGGCTGTTGTTATTATTTTTAGTTCACCTGACCCTTTTATATGATTACTTGACAAAGGAGATTACAGCTCTTGATGAAAGTTAAAGGATTATGATTTTACCACATAAACAATTTTTTCCATTTTCATTAATCTAGATTTCTATTCTAGTAATGGTTAACACCTTTTATCTAAATGTATGTATGTATCAGCTAATGTTATGATTTTCTTTAGGGCCCTAAATGTCTTTAAGCCTGAATTTTTTATTATTTAGGCTAAAGTCCTTTTAGAGGAAAACATATAGGTTGTGTTACTGATCTTGAGCCAATATCAAAATCACATCTTGTAGAGGATTCTTACAGAATAAATGAGGATGGTTTTATGGGAGCTAATTAGAGGAAAGTATAGGAAAGGTTTGAGGTTAAGTGCTTACTGGATTTAAGGTATTTCCATTGAAATTCTTAGTCTGAATCTCTCATTGTGTTTGCCATTGCATATACAGTGTTGTGCAGCTCAAAGCCAAGCAGGGGGATGTCCACAGGGGACACTGTTGAACAGGAGTTACCAAAAACAGTCCTGCCTCTTGTAGGTCAGTGTAATAGTGCCATAAAAGAGATTTAATGGGCCCAGCATTAAATCCTCAGTAGAATTAGCTTTCACTGCAGCTAATAGGATTTTGCTGCTGTTCAATAGGGAGGAAGAACAGAACCAAAGATGATTGATTCTACCAATGAACGTGTTTGTCTGTGTAAGCACTGAGAAAATGACACTAGTTCACGTACACAGAGCTGTCTGCATTCAAGCCAGAGTTTCACAGTTTTGAATGAAATGGTACACAACAGCTTTATTTTTGTAACGTGTATGAATAAGTATTAATTACTTTAACTTAAAGTGAAGTAAGAACAAATGTCACAAATTTTGGAGGCTGGCATGGTAAAAGCAAGTAAAAATATACAAACAACCACAAAACATCATATAATTGCGTGGACAACAGAAGCACATCCCCATACATGCAAAAATTATGATTGGATTGTCAAAAATCAACATGATATAACTAAAGTTTGATTACTTTCCTCATTGATATTTCTTCATTTACCATTAATCTTGCTATTACTGTCTTCCAAGTATTAATTATTACTTTCAAAAATCCCTAAAATACAATGCATTTAATTATATAGTTACCAGTGCAGACAACACAGGTGCTTTTTAGCATCTCTTAGTCTCTAAAGTCTCCTTCAAGAGAGCTCTTTCCATTTTCATCTGAGGCCAAGATTCAAGTGTAAGGAGGAATTGGCTTGTATGACACTGCTTTACCACAGGAAAGATGGCATTATATAGTCTAGGGAAGGTGAAAGCTGAGCATTATATTTTTCTCTTTTTTCTATATTTCAAGCATCAGAGTGATATTCTCATGTAATATACGTGAATCTGTCTCAGATTTTCAGTCTGCTACCAAACATGCTGGATACTATGTTAGAAATCAAGTTCTGGTATTGATGGGACATACGCTGTTTTTATTACTGAACTCAAAAAAAGGGCAAGATTGCATATATGGACTGAAATCTTTCCTATTTTAAATAAATACCTGTTTTGCCCATATTCAGTATGACTGACATAGTTTCTCTCTGGCGTGTATGTGCATGTAATTTACTCACATATTGAATAAAATCTCATAGCAACATTCACAGACAGTGAGATAATTCCATTCCATCAGTGTGATCCAGAGTCTCCACACTAATTAAAGCGTTTTAGCAGAGCATATTAACAAGGACGTATCCCACATGGGTAGTTTGCTCTCTGCACTTTATTTTGTTTATTCTATGCCTTTTCAATTGTTTCTTTTACGTGTTCTCTCATTCTATTTAGATACACCTGGTAATTGCAAACAGATAAGCTATGCAATTATTTGCATTATACTGCTATAATTTTATTCTTTAGCTGGACAGAACTGGACCATGCTTTTTAGGATACCTATATATGTATCAGAGATAACTCCTTTCCTCTCTTGTTAAGTATTTCTTCTATCTAATCTATACTGACACATTTAAAATAATTTCTGCAGATCTAGCCTGCAATTCAAACAACAGATCAGTTTGACAGAGGAATAGAAGCTTGTCATCTTTTTTCCCATTGATAGTGATACTAAATCACTGTCATGTAGTCAAAGGTTAGATGTAACTCATTTTACTCAGTAATTCCATTCTCCCCAGCAAACTTCAGATAATCCAAGTTAAATAATCCAAGTAAACCTAATCAATCTTGGCATATTCACTGAAGAAGGTCCAAATGTAAATTTTGGAAAACAATGACCTGAGTCGTTTATCAGATAGAAATTATATTAGGATAGTTTCACTTCATAGTAGTGAAGTTGAGGATTTTTTTTTGTATTGATACTAAAATATCATTGTAATCCTAGTCAAATTTTTGTTTGTTACATTGTTGACCAAAGTTACACAAAGCAGAATCTTACCTGGGTGCTATTTTTCTATAATATTTCCAAAAAGCAAGTGTAATATCCTTCCAGGAAAAGCAGAAGTTGATAATTTCATTACAAAGTAGAAGAGTTATGCTCTGATACTGGGCCCTGTCTGTTGTATATTGGTGTATCTTGTGATTTTTCCTTACTTTTCAAGACATTGTTTTTACAGTAATGGCTGTAAGGTAACAGCGGCCAAGTTGTTTTGGAAAAAATGAAAAGGGTGTAGATAACAGGCAAGAATATAATCTGAAGCAAGCATTGCGATGAAGGATGGGATGGTGTGATGTCAGCCGTTGGAATGCCATCAGATGGGCACCCTGCATTGTCTTCCTCTGTCTTGTCTTCTGTGAGGCACCTCTGACTCTTATATCATTCAAGAGAGCTGTCTTAGTGAAGAACTGAAGGAATAACATAATTTTTTTTATATATGACTTGAAAGATTTGAATCTCTGTCTACTGGGTACCTCATGATTTAATTCAGCAGTCCCTCACATGTAAGTCCAGTTAACTGCTTTCCGACATATGGGAGAGCAAATATCAGGGCCCTGATTCGTGTTATTCTGAAGATAACTCATGTCCTTCTAGCAACACCCATTCAGTTGGGTGACCACATGGGTGGTCAACTTTCAAAGTGGCTTCTTAATCTGTTGTTACGTCAGGAGGCCCTTGTAGCTGAAGACACAGAAAAGGCAGAACTGCTGAGCTTCTTTGCATTGGTCTTCCCTGATGTGACCAGCCCTCAGGAATCTCTGTCCCAGGTGCCCAGGGTAAAAGAAGGTCAGTTTGCTTGTTCAAGCACGATTGGTTAGAGAAGACTTAGACAAACTTGACATCCAGAAGTACATGGGCCTTGATGGGATACATCCACAAGTGCTGAGACAGTATGGCAGACACCACAGCTAGGCTGTTCACAAACATCTTTGAAAGGTCTTGGTAATCAGGAGAGGTGCCTAAAGACTGAAAGAAAGCTAATATCATCCCAGTCTTCAAGCAGGAGAAAAAAGGACACAGGAAACTACTTACCAGTCAGCCTCACCTCAGTCCCAGAGAACTGTAATCAGTGACACAGGGTCTGGCTGGAGGCCTGGTCCTGGTGCTGTCCCCAAGGTTCTATACTGGTCCCAGTATTGTTTAACTTACTCATCAGTGACTTGAACAAAGGGGCAGATGCCCCCTTTGCTGATGACACAAAGATGGGAGAAATGGCCCCAGAGTGCTGTGCATCCCTTCTGAAGGACCTCAACAGGCTGGAGAGATGAACAGAGAAGAACTGTGTCAAATTCAACAGTGGGAAATGCAGGGTCCAGCACCTGGGGAGGAATAACCCCATGCACCAGCATGGGCTGAGGACTGACCTGCTGGAAAGCAGCTCTGTGAAAGAGGAGCTGGGAGTCCTGGTGGATGACAAATTGTCCGTGGGCTAGCAGCGTGCCCTGTGGGCAGTGAGACCAATGGCAGGTTGAGGTTGGAGATCCTGCCGCTCTGCTCAGCCCTAGTGAGGCACATCTGGAGTGCCTGGTGAGGCACGTCTGGAGCACTGTGTCCTGCTCTGGGCTCCTCATTTCAAGAAAGACAAGGAGCTCCTGGAGTGATTCCAGTGGTGGGCTATGAAGTTGATTAAGGGACTGGAGAGTCTTTCTTAACAGGAAAGGCTGAGGGAACTGGGCCTGTTCATTCTTTAGGAGAGATGACTGAGAGGGGATTTCATCAATATATCTAAGTATCGGAAGGGAGGTTGTTAAGAGGATGGAGCCAGTATCTGCTCAGTGCCAAACAACAGGACTAGATGCAATGAGCAGAAACTAATGCACAGTAATTTTCACCTGAATTTGAAGAAGGACTTCTCTCCTGCTTTGCACTGGAAGAGGTTGCTCAGAAAGGTTGTGGAGTCTCCCTCACTGGAGGTATTCAAGAACTACCTGTATGCAATCCTGTGTCATATGCTTTTGAATGACCCTTCTTAAGCAGGGAGGTTAGACCTGGTGATCCACTTCCTTCCAATCTTAACCATTTCATGATTCTGGAACAAAAACTTATTTTCGTAAGAAAATTCCATGGTTCTATAAACAGACCTCATACTCAGAAGGGAATAATTCAAGACCACTTTGCTATGGAGTGAAGTAATGCAACATATGCGGATGATATTCTCAAGGCAATGTTTTCTGGGCAGACAGCAATTCTAAGAGGATGCTAAAGATTTATGCTCTCTTGTGAAGAATTATAACTTTTACAATTAACCTGCAAAGTTGATGGATAATATTTTAATATTTTGTGGCCTTGATCAGTGAGTGTCATATGAATGCTTCCAGGAGCAAATTGAAAATTAAATCAGTCCAGAGGTTATGAATGAGGCTGAATTTGTGTGCAAACTTCTTCTGCAATACAAAATGCGAAACTCTGTATTAGGCATTAATTTTTCAGATGTTAGATGGAGAAGAATAAGAAAACTTCACCTTGAAGTCACATGATTGTAGTAGGTCTGCTGTTCAGAATATGTTGTTCAGTGAGGTTTTGGTGAGGGGTATTTTTTCTGTATGTGAAACAGATTGGTATCATGCAGTTTTTAACTCCCACACATGAGCTCTCATATGACAGCACAGTAAATTCTATAGTAAGTTATTCTTCAGCATCATTTATTATTTGGATATTCATCTATATGGGTACTTCACCGCCTGAATGAAGGAGATTTATACCTGGAAAAAGTAACTATTTTGTCTTCAAGCCTCTCCTACTTTTTTAGGCTTTTTCTTATGAGTGGTTTTATAGAGTGTTTGTGTTTTGGTTTTTTGGGGGGTTTTTTTTGAGATTTTTTTTGTTTGTTTGTTTTGGGCAAGGGGCAGCGGGCAAGGGCTGCTTTTATTAATATGTTAGTTTGGGTTTTTTTTATTGAGTTGTGTATTATCCCCAGTTTAGCTTCTTTGTATATAACACTGTTAAGAGCAATGTGAAGAATGTATATTATATAAATAAGTGATGTATAATTATGTAGATATAGGTATAATATATATAATTAATTATGATAAATAATTATGTATCGATTATGTATAGAAACCCAAAAAGATATTAAACATAGTACAGAAATATAGATAAAGGTAGGAATATGTGACCATCCTGTTTATTTTGAGTTAGAAATCCTTCTTCTGTGCAATTGGCTTTCTAGAAGAAGCAAATTTTCTTACTTCCCATTTGAAATAATGATTTTTCCAAGGAACAATTGGACAATTCTATGTTTTGTCAGGAATCACACCCTAAACAAGGTGTCTTATCCTCAGTGGCAGACTACAATGTTCTGGAAATTTGGAGTTATTTAAAATCCCTAAGTATATGGACAATCTGATTATGGTCTCACACCTAGATTAGAAATAATTGTCTAAAGAATTATTCTAGTAGCAAAAGTGCTGCAGTATAAAACTGTATAGCTTGGAAAGAAGTGAGATTGTCATATTTGAACTGAATAAAATGAGATTGTTCTTGGCTCTTTATTAATAGATATCACTGTGTATGTGTTTCTTTGTTTCTTCCAGAGAAGATTCTATGTTTTGAATAAAATGAAAAGCAAAATTATGAATTTAAAGGGATGGCAGTGTCTCATGTTGACATGTACCTATCTCTGTACAGCTACTGCAGACAACAAAAATATGATTTTCAGAAAACATTGCTAAATAGTGTTTTAAATTTAATAGGAATTATCATAAAGCTACTTAGAGTTTTCAGATTCTATGAGGAAAACTGTCAGATAGTGGCTAATGATATGTTGCATTGCTGATTTTCTTAAGATCTGCATGGGCCTTTTCCCCCCCTGTAGCTAAAGTACAGTTGTTTTCCACAGCAACAGTCTTTCTAGAGTTTTGGAAAAGACGGAGAGCTGTGTTGACTTATGATTGGGACCTCATAGACTGGGAAGATGAGGAGGTAAGAAGAAACAGAAATAAACATGTAAAGCCTTGCTATCAGCATGGTTAAAGTCTCAATATCAGTCCATATTGTATGTCAGTCATCTGAGTTTGTCATTCAGATCATATTTGTATTGATAGTACTAGTTGCAGAATGCAAAGGTATGCTTGAGTTTGTACAAGGATACCTTGCCTTTTCCAACTAATGTTATAATTCCAAATATAATTCTACATTTATTAGAAGTATCCTTGGAAAAACTGTGTGCAAATACTTCCCATAGAGAGGACAGGAGCTGCTTCTGATGTCAGCACAGATGCCTTTCAGCTCCATGGTTTCTGGTTCTGGAAATTCCTGATCCTGCATAAAAATAGAACCAAGACAAGCAACAAGACAGAAACTAGCTTTTGTATCCTTGGAGAGGCATAGCTTATCCCTGAATATTCTGCTATCAGCATCAGCAATAATAATTTTTTTTTATTCCATTAATCACTAGCAAGCATAGCTGTAATTTCTCTATATTGGTGATTTAATTGCAGCTTAAGTCAATAGACTTCACTTGTTTTACAGCTTGGATGAGTAGATAGAAGCTGGTGGCTATTTTTAATAAATGCTCTCATAACACAAACAACACCATCATAATTGGGCCTAATTTATAGTTGTGTTATCAATTTTCGCAGACAATCTAGTGTCTAAGTCAGCAATGTGACCCATGATTCTTTTTAACACCCACACATAGTGGTGAAGGCTCCTGTGGTTTCTGTTCTTTGTTGCTCTCTGGTACTGCTTCCAAGGATTTTCAAAAGAGCAAATTATTTAGGTATTTGAGTTGTAGCATTATAAAAAAACCATTAATATCAATATAATGTTCTACTTTGTAGCACATGTATGTCTGGTTCTTGAGAGAAGTAAGTAATACCGCAAATGGAATCCACCCTGTCGTTCCAGGAAGAGCTGCGTCCCCAGTTTGAAGCTAAATATTCCCAAGTGGAAAGAGTAAATCCCATCACAGGAAAACCTGAACCTTTTCAACCTTTCCCTGATAAACTCAGTCGACTGATGGTGTCTGTCTCAGGAATATTCTTCATGGTGATGTTTAATGATATTAGAACTATTGTATTGTAATTCATCTTATTCTGATGTAAATAGTAACTCACCATGAGCATTCATTAAGATTAGTGGATTTACATAATATAGGCAAAATTGATTGTCTTACTGGTTGTTCAGGGATCTCTTTGTTTCACAAGATGGAATATAGTTATATTGGAAAAGAATAGTAAAGAAATGTTTTAACTCATCTTGGTTTTTTGTTCTCTCAAATTCTGCTCTCCAAAACAAATATCAATCTTTAAAACACTTGTTTTATTATTTCAGTGGATATTATTTCACATGTGATTCCTTTTGTTCTAATACCTCTACTCATAAATACATACCTGTAGATTTCACTGGTCCTTACTGCAGTGTTTGCAGTTGTGGTCTATCGGCTGGTAGCCATGGAGCAGTTTGCTTCTTTCAAGTGGTATTTCATCAAGAAGTATTGGCAGTTTGCAACATCTGGCACTGGAGTCTGTATCAATTTTATGATCATCATGTCACTCAATATTGTAAGTCTTCTGTTCTTTTAAAGGAGCAATTAATTTAAAAGAGTGATTTTTACAAGCTTACTGAGTTAACCATGTATTAGATATATACATGTTCATGCAGGTGTGTATGAAGCTAGTATTGCAGTGGATTTTCCTCCTCTGATACAATGTTTGTTGATGTTTTTCTCTAATTCCTCCTTAATTTGTCACTGCACATCTTCGCTTATGTCACCAAGTTACAGGGGTAAAGATTGCTGCTTTTCATTTGTATTTTTTTATTATTGCATTTTGCAATAGATTTCTAATTGGAACTACATTATTTTCTTGACTGAGTATTTGGTTTCTAAGTTGTTTTTGATTGATGACTTCTTATTAAAATGCAGCTGTGATATCAGTGTTGCGCAGTCCTAGAATCACTGTGGTATATGATTTTGGTGTCTTTTCTGTCATGTAACAGCACAGGTTTAATAATTTGCTCTTATAGCATTACACAGACAGAAACTCTTATTTCAGCTGCATTATTATTTATCATCTTTCTGTTCCCATGCAAGCACAGGTAAAAAGGAATAATAACCCAGCAAACATTGGCTGGAATTGCAGGAATTGCACTCGCTGCAATAAGAAATAATTCTTCCAATAAGAGTCCTCTAGTTATTTGTGTTATTATATATGATCACTCCACATCATAAAACATATATTGAAGTGAATAAGCAAAGCTATCAAAAATAACTTGCTACTCATAGTATAGTCAAGGAAATATATTTCAGAGTTGGCAACTGCCTGGGGCTGAAATAGATTTAAAATAAAGACCAGAGATAGTCAATATATATAGAGGAAAGTTTTCAGTACAAGGCTAATCCTCAGCTAGTATCCGTATTCATGGAAAGGAGAACTGTCCTGCAATACCTTGATGCTACAGAGCAAGAGAATACCATGCTTTTGATGTTTGTTTTCATTGTGGATTTGTCATCACAACAGCCAGGTTGTCCTGTACTTACAACCACTTAATTTCTTTTTTAGGTGTATGAAAAAGTTGCCTATCTCCTGACAGACTTAGGTATGTAGGTCTTGACTAATGGTGTGGTTTTTGCTGGCTGTGGCATATATCTTTATAGTATACTTCTTTATTTACCTTTAAAAAAGTGTTTTGAAAACTTCATCTATGAAGTATGTTTCTGGCATTTCCCTAAGCAAGTGAGAAATATCACAGAAATAAAAGAAATTATTATTTCACTGAGGAAATAAAATAAAACTAAGGAATTTATTCTTATACTTCTACTTTTTGTGTTTCATAGTATACACTGAAAAATAGTAATCTCTTTCTCAAGCAAAAGTCAAAATTTATTCTTTCTTAGCATGCTAAGGGTTTTTTTTCCATTTTCCCCAAATCCTTATTTTTTATTCATTTTTAATTTGATCTTTCAGATGGAAGAGAATAGGTTAAGATAAAATTAAGTTGTCCCAGATAAAAATGTTAAGTCATGAATTTTAAAGTAGCTCCAATTCTGTAACATTAAAGTTTTATACTGAAGCTTCTAGTAATGATTCAATCGCGGTCATAAAGCTTTCTAGATTATAGAAGACAAGAAAGCAAAGACAGAATTTAAGATCTCTGGCTGTGTCAATGTGTTACTATTTAGTGTTTCATTTTACATGCTCACTTTTAGTCCATGTCAAAATACGCAAGTGATCTTGTCTTGGTTAAATTCCAGCTGGCTGCTTAAATTCCACAGCTCCCTCTTTTGGTTAAAGTAATGAGATGCTCAAAACTTTATAGTGCTTCACCTAACAGGCAGTAGAACAGATTAGAAAAATTTAGAATTTATAGTCAACTTACTCAAATTAATAAAATATTTTAAAGTATTCTTTCATATCAAAATTATTTCTATTCATTTTAATATATTTTTATTGTTATGTGTCATAGAATGGGAAAGAAAATAATTAAGTGTATAAGCAGGTTTTTTCCCAAAATACATTAAATAATTTTTTTCAAAAAAGTTTTCCTGAATTAAGCATAATATGGAGCATTAGGTGTTTCAGGTAGGTAGCTACTTCTTCTTTCTGAGGTGTTTTACATCAGAAGAGGACAACTTTCTGGAAACAGCTGTCCTTATGTAAAGCTTGTAGTATCCTGTATATTTCTATCCAAATTTAGTAATCTGTAGACCAGAGTAGTTAAGTAGTACGAATTTTAACTGACAAATCCGGGCAGTGTAGACTTAAAAATAATATGCTTTTACAACTCACATGCTTTAAAATTTCTACCAATGTACTATATTCCAAGTTTGATATGTCCAACAAAGATGGATTTTATAAAAATTTATTTGTAAACATTATCACCAAATTCTAATTCAGACATAAATAATGTTCTACAAACCTTAAGGAAAGAGATCCAGGGCAGTGCAGACCCACATGGAACACTTGTAGCCCTACTATACATTCCTGTGTTTCTTTCCAAAAGAAGCCAAGAAAGAACCTCTGTCCTTTGCTCATTGAATTATAAACTGGCACTCCACAAGCATTATGAAAGGGAACTCTTGAGGATGAAGTAAAGGTTTTACAGAAGTATTTAGAAGCTGAGAAACTTGGATGAGGAATCAAGTAACTTTTAGGTGGTTCTTTCACCTCTGATTCCCTTGGCAGCTCTACTGATTCCAGGTGCTTTCAGGTTTTTTGGGGTGTTGGTTTGTTTTGGTTCATTGGTTGTTTTGGGGTTTCTTTGTTTGTTTTGAGATTTTGTTGTTGTTTGGTTTGGTTTTGTGGGGTTTTTTGTGTTAAATTTTTCTTTTGAATCAAGATACTTTTAAGATAAAAATTCGCCCTTGTTTCCAAATGTTTTCATGGAAGTGAAACAGGTATCTTCCCATAGTATTATGATTTATGCTGAACTAAGGGGCTTCTATCTACTAGTTTCCACATGGAAACAACATAGTCTGAGGTGGGGCAATGCAGAGAAATCAATTGCATCATGATGGGGCACCATGGCTTAAAACCATCCCTTGTTTTGTTAGTGTTGATTGATTTGTAAGCAAACTTATTCATAACTCAATTTCATCTTTGTTTATATAATGTATATTGTGTCTTTCTGAAGAGCACCCTAGAACAGAATCTGAGTGGGAAAACAGCTTTGCCTTGAAAATGTTCCTCTTTCAGTTTGTCAACCTGAACAGCTCCATCTTCTACATCGCCTTTTTTCTTGGCAGGTAAATTATCTTTCCCAATTGCACTTAAAAGAAAACTGGCACAGAACTCAAAATCTTCACTAATTTAATAGATTTGAAGAAAATACAGTAACAGTTTGAACTGTAAGGTTTAGGTACTAGTTGGTTTCTGGGCATAATTAAAACACCAAATTTTTCTAGATGTATGTAAGGGTTGGACCCTTGAAATGTTTACTCATGAAACTAGAGGGTAAAAATTCTACTTTCATTATGGGGGTGTAAATGACTTTCCTACTAAACAAGAACACAGAACTTTTGAAAACACAGCCACTTCCTAGTTACATTTCCAAGAATGCATTTCTGTAAATAGTAAATATTGTCTGGCAAACCTTACACAAGAGTAGAAAGCGAAAATTCTGGCTCCAATCTTTGTGCATATCTTTATGTTAGAGCATGAGATACAGCACAGATCTAACCTCACTTCATCTTCAGTTCAATTTTGTTATGGTCACACTTACCATTCCTGCAGAACCTATAGAACCTTGCAAAATGGTGGTCTTTGTTTGCGTTCTGAAACTTCCATATCCTATAGAAACCAGATTTAAACCTGTGCGATTTATTCTGTTGATATTTCCTGAATTCAGTGGATGTTATGAAACAGCTACTGATACAGATTGTTTCTGGAATGTTCACTGAGAAACAGAAATCTTATTTTCCAGATTTGCAGGCCGCCCAGGAAAGTACAACAAGCTTTTTAACAGATGGAGGCTGGAAGAGGTAAGCAGTCCTGGTTTGTGTTCCTGTGGCATTTCCATGAGTAAAAAGGAAGTGGTTGAAGCTCAGTTTAAAGATTTTATTATTCCAAGTGCAGCAAATACTAAACTCTTATTTCTAGCAAAGGATAGGATACACGAGATGGGTTTTTCCTTCTCTGTTCTCCAGTGTGCTGAGTGACCCTGCCCAAGGTCACACAAGTTATTTCTGCCTCTGCCTTAGAGAAAAGGCATCAGTAATAAGCCCCTTACCTCACAAGCCCTGGGAATCCTACAAGATTGGAATCTCCTGGTACTTAGAATTTTTGGGTAGAGGACATAAATATAAAGCCATCAGCTTTTTATTCAACTTGATAATTTTCTGTAAGCACAGAAAAAGAATGGATCTGTTGGAATGGGTCCAGAGGGGTGCAAAAAAATGAATCGGAGGGCTGGAGCGTCTCTCCTATGAAGGCAGGCTGAGTTGGAGGTACTCATCTTGGAGAAGAGAAGGCTCCAAGGAGACATTAGTACTGCCTTTGAGTACTTAGAAGTGTTTGTAAGAAAGAAGGGGACAAACTTTTAGTAGGGCCTGTTGAGACAGGACAAGGATTAATGATTTTAAACTAAGAGAGGATAGATTTAGACAGGTGTAAGGAAGAGATTTTTAAAAAAATTATTAGGATGGTGAGACACTGGGACAGGCTATCTAGAGAGGTGATGGATGTCTTATCCCTGGAAACATTCAAAGTCAGGTTGGATGGTGTCTCTGCCCGGTTGCGGCCACAGTGTGGAGATCTCCCAGCTAGCATGCTCCCTGTGGCTGGAGGGCATGACAGGAGTGGCTGCCCCCATATCTTTCCCAAGACCTCTAGGGTGGCAGTGCTCACAGGGGTTGGCAGCTCCCAGGGCTGGCTGTGGTGTGGGTATCACAGCTCCCAAGCAGAAATGATGGACTGAAGCAAAGAAACAGAGAAAATTCATACAAATTCACTTGTATGAATTCCAAGGTAATTTATTTCCTAGGAGGGTTCAGGGACAAGTAAGGCACAGGAATGAAGGTGGCAGCACATTATAAAGGGGGGAGGGTATTAGGGGTGGAAACAGCTCATGTCCAATGGGGAGCCACTGGGGGAGGAGAACACAACTGGGATAATCCAATGAGGACAGTACAGGGGAGGGAGCAGGCTTAACAATCCAATGGGATGCTGGGGAAGGGGCAACACACAGAACTTTCGAGAACCAAATGGGTGTGGCTACAATGACAGACAGGGGAGGTGGGCAGCACAACTTGGATTGACAGAACCTTTTAAGGATATGAGGGGAGGAACATGGAGTTTGGCACTTTGAAGGACAACTAAGTGGCGGGGAAACAACCTGGGAGAAACCATTGTGAAGGGAAGAAATAGGGCGTACGAGGAACATACCAACTGAAACTACATAACATTAAATGCCTAACTCTTAAAAGAAAACATAATAAAATCCTATAAAAATACACACCGCCACAGGATGGGACTCATCTAGTTGCAAATGGCCATACTTATTGCAGGAGTTTGGAATAGATCGTCTTAAGAGGTCCTTATCCAACCTAAAATAATCTATTATTCTATAGAATTCTAAAAGGAGAAAAATAATATTTTCAAAATTTAACTTGAATGTTAGAATTGCAAATCACCAGCATGGTGAAATTTTCTCTTTTCTCTGAAAAGATTTCTTCTACTGAAACTTGGTAGCACAGAGTAAAATATCATAGCTTTGTAGTCAATTAATTGAAAAATAGTTCTGTAATTACTTAACATTTTAATATGGCTGTACACGTGTATATATAGATAGATAGATATAGATAAAATACCAGTACCAGAAATTCTCTCTTTAGACTTAGATTATTGCAAATGATATATTGCTCCATTTTTTTTAACTGAGTAAGTACTTACTGGTCTAAGTGAAATGGTCTGTACGTTATATATCTAGTACACATACCTTTAAATTAGGCAATATGATCTAATATCTAACAATATGTCAAAAGGTTGTTCAGCTGAAGTCTCTTAATGTTTATTTTATTAACCTTTATTTTAATATTTTGGCAGATAAAGATTAGTGTTTTTCAACATATATACTTAATATTTTTTATTTACACTCTGAACAAATAAAAAAAAAGGAGTTCTCTGATTTTAGCTGTTGATCTCTTCCACTTCATTTCAGTGTCATCCTAGTGGCTGCTTGATAGATCTATGCTTACAAATGGGAGTTATTATGGTTTTAAAACAAATGTGGAACAACTTCATGGAACTAGGCTATCCGTAAGTTCAGATGTTAATTTTGAAAACAATAATACATGTTAGCATGATTCAGTGCTAGGGAAAAATGGTATTATGTTTGGAGAATGTTTTCACACATTGCACCTCAGATATTGTCACTTTATTCCTAAGGAAAGCATTAACTTCTGCTCTAAGATAAATATTCTCAGGGTATGTTAAGCATCTCAGTTACTTACTATGATTTCATCTTACATAATAAGGAGATGTTCAGCCTCTGAAATTACTAATGAGCTAAGAGTCTTACACTTCCCTTGAAGGTGAAAGAATATATGTCCAGTAAAATATTAATCATCAAATATTGATGAAATTGAAGTCTCAACCTTGAAAATATGTTAGAAAGGATTTTGCTCAGAACATGCAATTGCAGTTGTTCTGCACATGAGGGACAACGTACTGTATGTTGTAGAATGAAGATTTTTGAAATTGAGAAACCTACTTGAACTGCCAGACTTCCTGTCTTCTCAGCCAAGGAGGATGTTAACTTTGTCTAAAATTTATTTTAGAACATGCTTGTATTCTGTTACGGAAAGAAATGTTTTGTTTTGACAAAACCATTGTTGGCAATATAGGCAATAGTTTATCTTTCAAACAAACTAACAAACTGCTGTTCCAGTAGCAAGAGAGATCTAGAGCCCAACACTAAATTAGCTTGAGAAAAAAAAGCAGCCTTTTTATAAAAATACTTACAAGAAAGTTATTTCCCATCCTTAATCTCTTTTCCATGTCTGGAAACAAATAGTAGTCTTTAGTTGGTCCATATGTCAGTACTAGATAATTTTTTTCATTTACATAACCTTTTAATTCATGAACCTACTATCTCTTTAATATTTATAACTACTTTCTGGAAAGATCTTTGCAAAGCTTTATGAAGAATAGTCTTAAATATTTCCACCTTCATTCAGCAACACCTTTTTAAATGCTTTTTCCTGCTTTAAGAAAATAAATATTCTGTAGGGCATCTAGATCTTTAGGTTTGTTCAAAAATATATGTATTCTATCATTCAGTGTATTTTACTATGGCGTTGTTACTGAATTCCACTGTCCTGGTTTGTCTGTAACAGGATTGAAATAAAGCATTATTTGCTTTTTAGTGCTCTTGCTATGCATGATTTTTTATTCTTTTTTTCTTTAATTTAATCATTCAGGTAAATCTTACCAAAATAAAAAAAGTCCATGCAAGCATGTTCCATATTCTGAAAAGCTTATTTGTACAATGCCAAACATGCTACATTAAATACAATCAAAATTATAATGCAGAATTATGAGATGTTTTATAAGTTTTTTGCTTTGTATCAAAGATGATGTTGTAAAACTTTCCATAAAATATTTAAGTCATCATCCGGATGCTGTTCAAAATAGGCCCACTTATTTCAAAACAGTATCAGAATATACTTTAAATCTCTGCTCAGAGCAGTCATTAATACTCTCTTTATCTAATAAAGTTTATTACAGAATTGGTGGTCACGACGCAAAATGAAGAGAAAAGGGCAATCAATGGAGAATAAAATTTCCCTACCTCAATGGGAAAAAGATTGGAATCTGCAACCTATGAATCTCCATGGCTTAATGGATGAATATTTAGAGATGGGTGAGCAAATTTGGAAGGTGTTGGTTTTCTTCAGAAGGTAGAACTATGTTGCATGTTAAAAGATTTTTTGACTTTCTGATTTCTAACCACAGAAATGCCTGTCTAGTTTTACAGTTTGGCTTTACCACCATTTTTGTTGCTGCCTTCCCCCTGGCACCTCTCCTGGCACTGCTCAACAACATCATAGAAATCAGGTTAGATGCATACAAGTTTGTCACTCAGTGGCGAAGACCCATGCCTGCAAGAGCAACAGATATAGGTGAGAGAAGCTAATGGCTGTCACTGTCAGCTACCCTATCTTTGGGTTTTCCTCTCAAGAACAGCTTAACCCCTGAAGTGTTTAATGTATCAAGATGGTAACATAACCAATAGATTTCAGTGACAACTTTTCTTTTTGGCAACAAAAGGGTAGTTAGTTGCTTTGCAAAGAGGATTCCTCAAGGCTGTTTCCCTTTTACAATAAGGAATCATAATAGTTTGAATATTGAAAACAGGCTAAAAATATTTCAGTCTTTTGATTTGTGGAACTCTATGTCTAAAATAAATTTGATTTAGAAATTAAATAAAAGGGCTGAAATAACTTTTAATTTAAAATTCAATTAAATAAGAAACCTCTTTTCAGAACCTCCTATTTGGCCTTTATAACAAAAAATGATGGATATGCCTTTGTTGCTTGGCTGTATCTTCTCAGTAGGGTGTGCCCTGTTGTATCAGTTCGGTGACACGGGTGATGGCTGTAATGTGGGAACATGGCTTCATCTTGACTAGTTTTTCTGTCTCAATTCATTCTCAACAAGAAAGGAAAACTGTATGACTAATAATGATTTTATTATCACTAGTATGACTTTATATGACTTAATATGACTATGAAAAACTGACTACTTTGTTGACATTTCTCTTGTTTCTAGGTATTTGGTATGGAATTCTGGAGGGAATTGGAGTTCTGGCTGTCATCACCAATGCCTTTGTTATTGCCATTACTTCTGATTACATTCCACGTTTTGTCTATGCATACAAATATGGTCCCTGTACAGATCAAGGGTACAGACAAGAAAAGTAATTAGGATATTCTTTATATATACATGTGTAATTTTCAGTGCACAATTTACTGCTGTATTTCTATGATAACATATGTCAGATAAATTTCTTTTACATCTGTGCAAACCTTCCCAGATGTGAAGTGTAAGTCAGCCCTTCCAAAGAGTTTACAATATAGCTGTTTATATAAGTGGAAAATCATCTCTTTCCTTCTGAATGCGAATGGAAAAGTCTGTACAGTGCATCAGTTTTCAGATCTTTTCTAGATAAGCTTTTCCTCTTCTCTGCAGTAGGTCTATATTGTCTTCTCCCAATACATTCCCAAACACATAGATATGCTCCCAAAAATAGTGATTTACCCTTCCTGAGCTGTCACAGGAAAAGAGAGTTTAAGGGCAAAAATAATAAAGTGGGATAGGATGAAAAGAGACAGTTTCAGAAAAATGTTAGTGCTTAATGCACCCTACCCATTTAAGAGAGAACTATGTAATTCTATTTCTTCTTTTGTCAGTAGTGATTTGAGGTATTACAGCAAACCTGAAGATTCAGATTATAAAAGGATTCCTTATGCATCTCTTCTTAAATATTTGACTTACAAATGTGCTTTAGTTAAGTTACAAGACAGAAGATAGGATATCTTTCCTGTCTGTGGTTTCCAAGCAACAGCAAAAATTCACTCTTACAGTCATAAATCAATATATTTATATGATTTCTGTAATTAATAGTAGTAATACATTTTTGCCTTTAATAGAACTGTTTGGTATATATACACTGTTCATTTTACTGTTGGTGAAAACTCATAAAACCTGTTATTTTTTTGGATATGCTGCATTATTGGTGGCTGATTCTGCGAGGGTGTTAAATTATTCTGCTCTCTGCCTTTCTATCCATCTTTCAAAGTTCAGTAATTTTACAAAACAGTTAAAAACAGTGTAGCAACAAGTTTTGGTTTACATCTCCCAGCAGGTAAGAAGCAAAACCATAAGAAGTGCTGAAAATAGACTTTTTAAACACCTGAAACAGATGTTAGTCTTTTTTTTTTCCAGTAAACTTTGCTTCTCTGCATGAAATTTTAGAATTGATTTTGTCCTGGTAAGCAAATAAAGTATTATGCTCACAGTATCTGATAGCAGAATATGTTTACATACAGGATGTTTATTGTATTGCCACTTTATGAAAAAAGTGCTGCCTATATGGTTTTTTCTTTCAGATGCTTAAAAGGATATGTCAACAGCAGTTTGTCAGTATTTGATTTGAGTGAACTTGGGCTGGGATACTCAGGATACTGTAGGTATGTTTCCTTCCTGTCACTTACTGTAATACAGCCATGGACATTAATGCAGACAGTAAATTGAAAGTGCTGAAATTGGTGGCATTTCTTTTTTGCCCTTAAAAGCATTGGAGTTCATGTTTGTTCAACATGGCAGCCTCAGGTGCAAAGAACTGTTTGGGAAATGTGTGGGAAGATACACTGCGAACATATTGGAAATTTATGTTTGAAGTTTTTGTAGGACTCTCGCAAGCCATTATCTTTCATGTCTCTATGAATTATTTAATTTAAAAGTTTTACCAGCTGCCAATAAGGGTAAAAATCCTCAATTCAATTTTGTTAAGCATTCTCAGTGTGGGTGTCAGATTCAGTCAAAGAAAGAAACTGAGAGTTTCTAGCCAGGCAAAAAGCCTGGAAAAGAATGGAAATAATTCATTATCTCTTTTGTTTTTCACATTGTTTATAGTTAAGTTCTGTCACTGTGTGTCAAGCACTTTGCACCAATGCTTTGGGTTGTTTTCACTTCAGAACCAATGGATATGGTCCTTGCGAAGCTCTGTATATAAAGAGCAGTGTATATTGAATAAATCGGAGTTTTACTCTCAGCAGCCTTCTGAATCAAGTCTATTCATTCCCGTCCTGCCTCGACAGCGACATTCTGAGGTCAATAAATGAAATACCCAATTAAAATTTTTGTTATCTCTCTAACCCAGGTTGAGATTGCAAACAGTTATGCAAGATGAATATAAGAAATATAGCATAAAAATTAAATAGGACATGAGTGCACTCCTGTTTTCTGACTTAGTTTTGCAGTGAGCATTAATTTAAATTAGAATAATATTTCATTTATGCAAACTTTGTCTGGAGACTCTCAAATGCTTATAAACAAAGACAGGAGCCAATTTAGAATCAAGACACCTAACACTCCAGCTTTGTAACAATAAAAGAAACTGTTTGCTCTGGATTTTTGAAAGCAAAAAGTACTGTCTCACAAACAGCTTTATATAATAGCCTGTATTCTGGACAGTTGCTCTCCCTTTCAGATTAACACCACTTGAAGTCTACTTTCACTTCAGTTTCTCTCCTTTTAGCCAGACCTGGGATGAACTAAAAACCACTTGACCATGTCAAAAGTATTAATTGCTCAAGAGAGCACAGGCTAACTCACTGGGTTTCTCTTTGCTTTGCAGGTACAGAGACTACAGAGCCCCACCATGGAGTTCAACTCCATATGAATTCACTTTGCAGTTTTGGCATGTCCTGGCAGCACGACTGGCCTTCATCATAGTATTTGAGGTTAGTTGTGGAAAGGAGCAATTCCTTTCTACCTTTTATAAGTCTGAGTTGATTCTTTATAGTCATCCTATAAGTAAATTGTAACATTAATCAATTGTTTCTTCATTACAGTCAAGACAGAGGAAAAAAAACTGTCTTCCCCAAACTGTTGACTATCAACTACTTCAAAAAGAGTTGGCAGAGCATGCTCTTGCTGTAGAACTCCTCTAAAATGATATTTCTTTAACAGTCATCTTATACATCATGTTGGTTCCCTGCCCAGTCTTTCCTATTTTATTGAAGAATAAGTGTTAGTTTTGTGTATGTTAGGCACAGTTATTACAAGATAGAATGTGTGTCAGGAAAAGGATCCATGATTCTAGGCTAAGATAAAAGTTGAAACATGTATACTAAGTTAGAAGTATGTATTGCATACTCCCCAGGAATCTGATTACCTATTTCCATGATAAGCCCTGACCAAAGACTGCTTGTAGGTAGTGTTGGCATTTGTTGATCAAACTAGCATATCCTGTAGTCACATCTTCATTTAAGTCACTAACTCTGCCCGTTGTTTTCCTTTTTAGAAAACTTCAGCATTTGCCCATTTCTTTTAGTCACTCATTTACTCCCATAAGAGTGCTTTTATTAAAAAAAAACTAAAGGAGTTGCCTTTCAATCACAAATTGAATCTCAGTCCAGTTTTGCCACAGACATTTAGACTGTAAAGTGTAGTCGTACAAAGGAATACTTATTTATATGTTAAGCAATTATTTTTGTTTTTGTTTTTCTTTTCAGCACCTTGTTTTTGGAATAAAGTCTTTCATTGCCTACCTAATTCCAGACATACCCAAAGACTTGTGTGACAGAATGAGAAGAGAGAAATACTTAGTCCAGGAAATGATGTATGAGGCTGAACTGGAACATTTGCAAAGAGAAAGGAAAAGTAATGGAAAACAGTATCACCATGAATGGCCTTAGTCATTACCAAGCTGCAACAAAAACACTGTTTGAAATTGGAGAGTGAATTTACAAAATGAAGTCAGTCTGGCATCAGTGTGAGGTTTGGTCGTGGTGTATATATGTTCTTGCTAGGCAGTACAGTTGCATACTTTGGTGGCCACCGAGAAATAGATGTTTCCAGTGATGTCAATGAAAAGCCTTACCTGTAAGTGGTCTGTGATGAGCTCCAAAGACAATTGGCATTCAGAAATTTGTCCAGAGTGAAAATCTGGACATTGTTTTAAAAGCAGGCAGTGGATTTTCATGCTGTTTATGAAGATACTATACTATCAGTATGATATTACAGAAAATTACCTGTGAACCTATAGAGTAAGGGCATGACTAAAACCAATTTACGTGATATCCACTACTTCTACAGCTTCTGATTGCTCAGCTCTCTCTGTAATAACTCTAAAGAAAAGAGCAGTTGTTGCCTTTGTGGCTATGACTTGATCCTTCAGGCTTACTGTTTTGTCAGGTTTGTCCTAGTCTCTTGCTGAGGTTGTGGATGTGGTCCTACCCTAAAAAAGGGGGTCTGTGGCTGCTAAATATATACTATGCAGTTTGAGATTTGCACATCATTATCATTAATTTACCCATCTTGAAAACCAAAAAGTTCAAATTCGGAAAGAAAACAGCAGCACCAGGAGAAGGTAATTTTCTGTTTGAAAATTATACAGCTGTTGATTTGTCTTTGCTCTTTTGTGTGTGAAAGGCCATCTCCACATGCTTCCAGGATGAAAGAACTATCATTTTCATGCTATGTTACTGTTCCTCTTGATCCGCCTGGGCAATGATTCCATGACTTCACAGAGTGCTAACTTGAAATACTCCCATGCAGTGCAAATTACTTTCTCTTCAAAACACAATTATATCTTTATAGGATGCAAGTTTCTGCCAATATATATGAGACATACAGTATAACATCATGGCTTGCTTGTTCAGGGAAGGAGAAGAGCAATTTGTAACAATGTTCTTCTTATTGTAATAGTAAATATTCTTCTTTTATTGGTCTCAATATGTCATAACATTGGAGCTGGATACAGGCAAATATGTATACAGATTGTATATGAATGCATACACACACAGTGGTTACTCATAGATTTACTATTATTATTAGTATGCCCTCATACACTTTGGGGAGGAATTTTTTTATAAAATCACTAAAGAAGTAGATGTTCATTGAAGCATCAAATTTCAGTTTTTATGTGCAAACAGCATACTGCAGTGTTGCTTGTGGTTAATAGTCACATTTTGGTGATGAAATTGTCTGTTACTAACATTTCATAATACAGGAAAAGCACTTCAAGGTTAAACAAATTTGAAGGGATACCTTGCAGGGAAGGGAATGGATAAACAGTGTTACAGTTGTTCTGTTTCTCTTGTACTATTTTAAATAATGCTTCTCTGTATTGGATGAGAAAAATCTGAAAAACAAAGAGTCAGCAAAGCACAGTAGCTACAAAGTCTACAAATGTTGACATTATTTTTAGGGATAAAGCTGCAGCATAATCACGTGTCGAGTATTCACTCGTATTTATTAGCTCAATAATTTTATCTTATTTCACTGAAATTAATTTCAAGAGTCAAGAGCCCATCGAAGTAGTTAACTAGGATGTGTTGTATCCAGAGAGCCTAACATCAGACTTTTAAGTTCTTCAGTTGTTTCACCACTTTAATGAGATTTCTTGATTAATTTCAGCTCCATTACAAGCAAGACAAGGCACTTGTAGGGGTATCTATAGTACTGCCTGAAAGGAGGAAAGAAATTTGAAGAAAAATTTGAAGATCTGGCCCAATCAGGTACATTACCCATTCACTCTGTGATAAAGAGCTGATCAAACTCAGCTTGTCGTGTTTTGGAAAGGCTGTTTCGTTCCTTCATATTCTGGGTTGCGCATTAAGTCCCTCAGGAGTCGTTATCAGAAAAAAATTACTGCACTCTCTTCAGTGCTAATAGAATCACAAGATTTGATTTAATTTGTCTCTCTGTCTCATTCTATGGACTGTCAAGCACTGTTTGACAGCTTTAACTGTGTCACAGTTTTTATTTGTGTGCCACCTAGTGATAAGTGAATGCTTCAGAAGGTCACAAATGAGCTCTTTTTGATATTTTCTCTAAAAACAAAATGTCTTGGCTGGCCCAAGTTATACAGGTGCAGGGTAAAATTAAGCAAAAATCAGAAACATTATTTTATACTTTCTTGTTTCTGCTATTGATATTGGCACGTGTCAATACTTACTAGGCAAATTCCAATTGGACTTGAAAAACCACATTAAACAATCTTTTTGTATTTGAGATTTGCATGCATATATATATATATATATATATATATACATATATAATGATTTTTTTGACACTGGAATGTAGGAGTATATGGAAGGCAAGTATGTAGATTTGACATGGTGCATTTTATGCACTGGGAAAGCACAAGAAAATTTGGAGAAACACTCTGTGTGTCCTTTACATTTGGAGGACATCAACAGTGCGTAAAGGTCTTGCCACTGTCTAGCCAGTTGCTTAAGCTCTGAAACGTTGTTCCTAGATTTTGCTCAGTATGCTGTTTCCATTGACTGCACGTTATTTTCCTAAAGAATAAGGCACACACTGTCCTCAGGAATAATGTATTTTTTGAATGGTGAATTATCTTTTAATATGCTAAATATTGTCTTTTCAAACACCTAACTAGTATGACTAGACTGTGCATGCAGGCTGCATTTGTGAAATTTGACAAAGCTTTAGAACCTCAGTTTGTGCAAATATGCTTTAGATCATTGCAGATCTAATCTATGAAAAGTTTGCTCTATGCATGCACCCTTAGAGAGACTGCATGAGCAACTAGATTTTTTATATATAAAGTATTTGTTCAAAATGTGTTAATTATTTTTAACCAAATTTTGCATCTTGTTTCAGACAAAAGAAATGTCCATTTCAGAAATGGCACCAAGTCCAGATATGTGATACACACCTCATTTCTTACAACTTTTTATTCTAAATTTGTGCCTAATATCTGAGATTTGAATTTTGGTGAATAAAAAAAGGAAGATAAAAATTCTGTTTTACTGGCCATCCTAATGAGAGGTTCCCCATAGTTTGTCTCTACAAAGAGGGAGACATTAAGAGTATTCACAACTGAGTGCTGAGGCTTGCCTGAATGTTCAGCTCAGGCTCCCACAGCACACTGATTGAGATATTGGATATTCCCTGGATATTTGGAAACAAGGCAAACCTTATGATGAGTTCAGTAAAGCCTTGGAAACTGTCACCAATGGCATTCTCCTGGAGAAAGTGGCAGCAGGTGCACTCTTAGCTGGGTTAGAGCTGGATGTCCATGCCCAGAGGGTGGCAGTGAATGCTGTTTATCTAGCTGGCAGCTGGTCAGGAGTGGTTCTCCAAGGGAACCAGTTCTGTTGGGGCGAGTTCTGTTTAATGTCTTCATCCATGATCTTGACAAGGGGATCAAGGACATCCTCAGCGAGTTTGCAGACAATCCTGAGTTGGGTGGGATTGTTGATCTGCTTGAGGGCAAGGAGGCTCTGCAGAGGGATTGTCTCCCTGTACGTGAGTGAGGCCACACATTGAAACATGTGTCCAGTTCTGGGGCCCTCAATTCCAGGCAGACACTGAGGTGCTGGGGCATGCCAGGAGGTGGACAGTGAAGCTGGTGAGGCATCTGGATAGATTAAGTCATAGGAGGAGTGGTTGAAGGAGTTGTCATTGTTTAGTTACATGAGGAGGCTCAGAGGAGTCTTATCACTCTCCACAACTACCTGGAAAGAGATTGTAGCAAGATGGGAGTCAGCCTCTTCTACCAGGCAGCTAGGAACAAGACAAGGGAACATAACATCAGGCTGCACACAGTGAGGTTCAGGTTGGACATCAGGAAGAATTTTCTCATTGAAAGCATTGGAATGGGCTGTCCTGGGGGGTGGTGGGGTCATCATCCTTGGAAGTGTTCAAGAAATGATTGGACATGGCACTTACTGTTGTGATGTATTTGTCATGGTGATATTTGGTCAAAGATTGGACCTGATAACTTTGGTGATGTTTTCCAACGTTAATGATTCAATTCTTTCTTAACCCTTTTTGTTAAAGAATTTATAGAGAAAATAGTGACAGGGCTAAAATTTCAATAGCGATGATGAATGATAAGTGAGCTTTTGGTTTTTTTTGTTAGATGTTTCTGTGGAAGTGCGTATCTTCACTAATATGAAATACACATCAGCTGTGTGCCTTTTCAAGAACAACTTGTCATAAATTGTGTTCTGAGGGACAGTTAGGTTCAATTATGCCCTGTGGAAAGCTCAAAAGGAAAATGTCTAGACAAACTGGTGAATATAGGTTAGTAGATAAATACCCTAATGGAAAAATTAATAAATTTCAAGAAGTTTCCTTCATAAAAAGTTCTATGGAAGGAAAAATACCTTGGGAAACATAGCTTCAGGGGAAGTATTAATATGGAGAAAGGCAAGATTTTTGATGTTTTATTCTTAATGTGCCATTAAGATGATCAGTCTAATCATATGGATAATGCACATCTACTCTTTCCTTGCTGTGGCTTACTCCACTGCAGACTCCAACTAAGAGTGTTACCAGAGAGAATTTCTGGAGCCATGAAATCTATTGGTGTTACCTGTCAAGTCCTACATGGCACTGTGGGACTTAGCAAACTTTTGCAATATGTCACAATTTGTTTGGAGGCAAATTAGTATAGTTAGTCTGTAACTGTCACCAATTTTCTTTGAAACTATTATAAACTAGATTTTTTTTTGTATATACCGGGCAATAGCCTTATCAATAAAACTCATTTTATACAAATGGCTACTTATGAATGTGATAAAGTTGATGGGAAATTTAAAAACAATCACATTTTCTATTTAGTTTCTATTAAGAAAATAGACAGAGATAAAAATAGTGGTCTCAGTAATCACTTAAAATGCAGTAGTACTTCCAGAAGCATTACATTTTTTTGGAATCCTCATAAAGTGCTGATGTTGCTTGTTTAGGGGTAAAGTGTGAAACAAATAAAAGGGCAGCATTTCATAATAATTATTTGATGTTAAGACTGAATCTAGAATTCAAATAGAATTCCACTTCTAGATAGACCTTGATTCCAATGCATACTTTTTCTGACTAGAATGCATACAGTGACACTTTTTCAAAGTGTTTAAGTGAATTCTAACCTATATTCCTGTACTAGAAAATCTAGTAGCTTAAAAAATTTCCCAAGTCCTTTCATACTCAGTCTTATGCCTGCAAAACACATGCTCTTCTGAGGTCAAATTCAGCAACCAGCATGTGGAGGATGAGATTGAGCTGAAGGCAGCAAAGGGCTCCTGTTCACTCCAGCAAGTTTCGTTCCAGAATTGCATCAGGCTCTGAAAAATAAGGGTTTGAGGATAAAGCATGGGGACAGGCCTCCGGATGTTTTCTTTTTTTTTCTCCTTTGGCACATTCTTTATTTATTCTCAGTGTTTTATTGTACACTGTCTTCTGGGTGACAGTCCAGTTTCCAGGACAATTCTGTTACAGGATATTTTTTTACAGGCTGTTTTTGGATGTCCCTTACTGAGATGCCGAACAAATCTGTTTGGTGCTTTTTACAAATTGGTATGCCTTGGTGGGATGACGCAGTGTGAGGCAGGATGGGGCACTTCTACCTGTGCTGTTCCTGTCCTTTCAGTCATTTCCCCAAGCACCACAGTTTTTTCTCCTTGTGTCCCTTCCTACACATGCACATGCACCCTAAATACCCTAGTTGTATAATTTTTGAATTTCTATAATGGATTCATTTTGACAGTTTTTATCTGATATTGCCATTGCAAACACATTTACTAGAAATTTGGATTGTTGTAAGCTTGCCATAACCATAATAGCACAATGTTGCCATAAACAGCACAAAGTTCTAATGGCACAACAAGTAACAATAGGGAAATCACTGCACTATTCCATGGTATACAGGAACTTTTTAAATCTAGGATTGGGATGTAGTCTTGAAATGTAATTGTGTATTTCCTCTTCACTGCACCCAAAATGACCTTGTGTTAGTTCTGTTGGCTCATTCTGTCTTTTTGATACAACCTCTGTATTGCTAGCTGTTCTCTGGAGTTTGCATTCTTACTGACATAAGCTGCTTGTTACGATGCAACAGGGTGAGAAATTAGGGTTAACCTAATGGAGTCTAAAGCTAGTGAGATTTTAACCACTGAGAACACTATGATTTTTCTGTTAATAATGAAAAAAAAATCAGATCACATTTTCTTTTCACGTTCTATTTAAATTACTTGGAGTTTTGTATTGAATAATCTTCCAACCTGTTTGCTCTAATTTTTACCTAGAATAGTATAACTGAAATGTCAGTTCTTGGAAATAATTTCATGTAAAATCTAACTGAATAAGATAGTTCAGTCATTTTTTTACTCTGATAGTTCTGGCTAACTTGCAATATCATAGTCATAAGAGATTTCTTAAAATGTGTATATATTTGAAATTTATGCAATGTTTAAATACAACTTGATTTCTAAGTAAGCAGTAAGAACAAAATTTCAGCTATTTTTTCTACTCATAAATCTACACTTTGTAAGTAATACTTAAATCAAGTTTACAGTAGGAGAGAATGTTTTTGGAGAAATCTACTTTTCTGTTCAAAAGCTGTAAGTTCCTCCAGCATGTCAGCTTTCAGTTTTTGTATTTTAAGACTGCTTTTACAAGCATCTATGTACCGCAGAAGTAAAAGAATTCACTGAGGAAAAAGCTGTAAATCTGATTAACTATTGTAAGACACTCATGGCATAAATTTGTCTTTGGGATGCTGTTTACTTTATCAAGGTTTACATATACAAATGCAATTACTTGCTGTATCATGCACATTTGATTATTACTTTCTTTTTCAATAATAAACTTGGATATCTTTGAAAAAGACTGTGAGCTTTATTATTCCAAATATTCAAAGATAATTAAAAGCAATTGTATACTTGAAAAATCTGTGCTCATGAGCATTCAAGCCGTATTCTTGTAAGAAAATAATTTCAGGATCATACTTGGCTCAGGCATTTATAAGAAATAATCAATTATTTTGGCCTCAAGGCACTGCTAGACTGAGTTTTAAAATTTTCAGTACTGCTTTTACTAGTGACTAACAATTTCTTAAATTTAATCTCTTCTAGGATTTATCTGTGCCTAGTTTCATAATCTGTTTTCCAACCAAAGTGGACAGGCTAGATCAGATTCTGGAATGATCAATGGCTCAGGAAACGGAGAGTAAATCTTTTACTATTTGTTTAGGGATTGGTTAATTATAAGGTATTAAGTTGCTTCTTTAATATTTAGTTTTTATAAATTTAGATATTTTAGGATTTTTTTAATATGATGGATATTACGTTTTTGTTGAAAGAGTTTTATGATAATAATAATTTTTATAGTTTAAATATTCGTATACAATTTTAAGATTTGTAGGTTTTGTAGGTTGAATAGGGAATGTTTGATATAAATTGTAGGGGTTTTGTGTGGTTTATGTTTGTGTGTTTGTTTTTTTGTTTGTGGAATTCTTGGTGTGAGTTTGAGTGTGATAAGGTTTTATATTTTTTGTATTTAGGTTTTGTATTGTTTTAAGTTATTAGTGGAAATGGGTTTTTAACTTTTGTTTCAGCGTTTTTGATTAAAATTGGATGGTTTTTTATAAATTTTATGTGTTATTTGAAAAGTGTTTAAAAATTGGAGGATTAGGTTTTGTAAATGAGTTATTAAAAAAGTTAAAGATATGCAAAGTTTTGTTTAATTCTATTTGAGATGTAGTTTGAGGGGTTTTTTTTGTTGTTGATTTAAAATGTGTTTTAAAGTGTGGTGTGTTTTTTTAATAATTGTTTGATATGGGGGAATAGAGAATTTTAAAAGTGTGGTGTATATTTTAACGTATTAAAAATGTGGCTAATTTTTAAGTTGTGTATGTGGGGTTATTGTTTGTTTTTATTTTTGGGGGTGTATTTAAAGAAGGAAAAGTTTGTAGAAAGTTTTGGTAAGTACAACTGGTTGGTTTTTGTGTGTAGAAGTAAAAATTGCATTTGACAAAGTATTGATAGATATATGAATATTTTTTAATTTAGTAAAAGATGGGTATTGGTAATATTTATTTGTTATAGTTGTAAAGATTGTGATTTTTGAGGGTGAACAGTTTTTGTAGAAATAGAAAGTTGTATAAGTTGATAGAGTAAGCAGTAATAATGGGTTTTGCTTGATATTTGGAGATGTGAAATACTTGTATAAGTGTGTATTTTGATAAAAAAAGATATGACTTAGTTTTGTTGGTTTGAAAATGTTTGGTAAGGTGTTTGAAATAATTATTGTTAGTTTATTTGATTTTGGTTTTTATTGTTATGGATTTTGGAAGTGAAGAGTGTGTTTTGATATGAGAAATAAAATATAGGTTAGTTCTGTGTTGTAAAATTGTATAAAGATATGAAAGGTAATGATATAAGGTATTATTTTTAATATTTTTAAAACTTATTTTTTAAATGTCATTAATAGTATTAGTAAATAAGCTGACTTTGTAATTAAATTCAAATGTTTTGGAAAGAGTTGAAAAGTTTTACAATTTTACAAGAGCTAAACAGTTTATAATTTTTATAATTGTAAAAGCTGTTTTTGGAGACCTGTAAGGAAGAAAAATCTAATTTATTATTAATAAAGGATTTTTTTAGAAGAGTTTTATTGAAATATGTGATTATAAAGTTGTAATTTTTTTTAATATTGTGAGGATAGAAGGTTTTTTTAGAGTATAATGATGTGTTTGGTGGGTTTTTTTTTAAAGTTTTAGTAATTTTTTTTAAAAGGGTTTTTTGAGTTTTAAATGTTGCCCTTTCTCTAAGTCAAAAAAAGCTAAATCCAACAGTGGAGGAAATGAGAAGATAGCAACGCTGTCATGAATATTTAAATGGAATGGGAATGTCTCTGATTTCCAGTTTTGCAAGGACTTATCCTTAAATCTTCCTAGAAAGATGAATAATGAACTGCTGGTTTTAGCCATTGTATGCTGTCACGTATGATCCATGTGTTGGAATTAGTGTAATGCTGTGGCTGCCTCCATTACAAGTACAGAAAACACCTGAGCTCAGTGAGCAGCTTTAGTTGTAACAAAACTAGTCTGGAAACAGTTGAAGAAAAATCCTTCAGGGTATTTCTTTGGTAGCATTTGGAGAGAATGCAATTCTAGCCAACCAAACTCACTTTTTTCTGACATTAAATGGATAAATGGCTTGAGAAGATATTAAGTCTGTAGTGCATCCAGTGCTGCCAAACCTGTGAAATGCGTGCAGAGCATAACGCTGCTGTAAGTATAAGCTTTAAGTTCCTTAAGAAATGTTCAGGGAAGACTTTGTTGTCTTCAGAGTTGGAGATCTTGAATCAGAAAACCTCCAACTATGACTAGAGAGGGTTTTATCACTCTCACCTCACTATATGGCTTCATATTGATGTTTTGAACCGCTTTCACTCAGGAATTATTTTACATCCTTATCCATGGTAGTCAGACTTTCCCAATACAACCTAATCAGTAATGTGTGTGCCCAAGAGATGTAAATGGTACAGTAGTATTTACTGAATTTCCATTTTTGCCTTACTAACAATCTTAGGTATGGAAGCAGGAAGGAAAAGCATGCCACATGAGACAGCAAGCAGCTGTCTTACAGCCAGACTCAGCTATAAACTTTAATGAGATTATAAAAGCAGTGTAAAAGGGATTAACACAAATATTGACTTGGTTCTCAGTTTCTTGACAAACTGTCCCATGCAAGCAAGGGAATGTCATTTACAGACTGCTATTTCTGTTCTCTAATTAAAATCCTGGGACCACTTCCAGGGGTAGAGCATGAACACGGGGGAAGTAACTTCAAGGACAAGATTGACATACATCTGCATCATAAAGATGGTCACTGATAAAGCAAAAGCAACAGAGGGGCTCTTCATAAAAATACAAGCTAAATGTATCAGGTGAGTCTGTGAGTTGTCTTGGATGTTTTCATTCAATCTGCTTCACTGAATTGTGAATTTTGTTTTAAAACAAATATATTTATTGAAAAACTATATCCAGAAGTTAATCAAGGTGAGAGGAGATCTGTTGGCTTTTATTTTCAACCAGCAGGTTTTCAAAGAAATGTGTTTCACTGAAAGAGAGCACTGAATGGGCTCTGTTTCCAAGACAGTGTATTAGACAGATTATTTTGCCTAATTATGTATATTTTTTTTTTCAAAATTCAGCATGAACTATCAATTAGGAGGGATGGTCATCATTCAATGTTGCTTTATTTTCTTTATTGCATAAAAGTAGATACTTTTGATACTTTAGATACACAGATAAAGAGCTGTGGGATTTGTAATTTTATCTTCTTCTCCCCCCAATTCCCCCCCCCCCAACGTGTTCCACCTTTGTCCTCTGACCCAGCCCGCCCCTCCCCCCTCCCCCCGCGGTCCTTTGTCTTGATCCTGCATTCCCTTATCACTCCCCCTCGCCACGCGGTCTGTCCCTGCCCCTCCCCCCCCCGCCCTTTCTCTTCGCCGCTCCTGCCTCACCAGGGCCTCCGGGGTTTCCCTGTCCCTGCCCTATCCCCATTGGCTGCGGCTCATGTTCCCCCCCCCCCCCCCGGCACAGGGTATAACCAACCCCCAGTTGGTGCCCCAGCGTCTTGGGAACACGCTCCCACAATAAACATGTGTTTGCACCCGAGCCCCGTGTCGCTATTTTGTCTATTCCTGCGCTAGAACTGAGCCTCGCAGAGCCAAAGGGGAAAAGCAGCCCCGCCTTTCCCCGTGCTCCTGCAGGTGCCCACCCGGAGCCAGTCCCGCACGGCAACAAATGGTAGCAGAGGATGGTTATTTCCATTGATTTGTGAAAGGGGGAGAGAGAAAGGAACTCTGCTGCCGTAAGAGCTCTGCACATGCTAAGAGGAGTTGACACACCGGGCGGAAAACAATCCTGAAGCTCTGGGGACCCTCCTCCGTCCTCGCTGGCGTGCTCTCTACCCCGCCTGGGAGCAGCTGCGCTGCCGGGGCAGCCAGACTGCAGGGGCCATGAGCCGGGTAGACTTACCCGAGGACAAAGAAGACAGTTTGGCAGTGGCTCAATGGACTGAGCTCGAAGAGTGGCCCGTCAGGGGGCGGCATTTGAATGGAGACCAGAGGCTGACAGTGGCTGAACCCAGGGTTTCAGAGGCGAGCCCTGGTTAACGGGAACACCCAGGCTTTTGGGAGAGCCAAACCGCAAAAAGAATATGTCCTCAGTCTAGCACGATTTTCCGCCACCGAGGAGAGAGATAGAGATTTCACTGCCCGAGCCCAGAGGGTAAGTTGGGTCAGAGCAGGGTGGGACCCTGGCGGGCAGCTGAGCTACCTTTTTTTCTTTTCTGAGTTTTAACCACCATCCGCGTTCAGACAGGGACTGTAGCCTTGCATGTCCCTGGCGGCCGGGAGGTTTTTTATTTTCCGAGGAGGACGCAACCTCACTTGGTCTTTTTGGGGTAACTCATACTGGAAAGCTCCTTCTCTTTCTCGGAAAGCTGCCTTTTCTACCCTCTCCTCGCTATTCTGGGCTATGGGGGCAGGGGTGGTCAAAAGGACACCAATGGGACAGAATTGTAAATGGCGACATGTCAGCTATGGGAGAAGTGTTAACATCCTAAGAGAGGCTTTTCACATCCACGCATTTCGTCGGCTTCCAGCCGCGTCGGGCTCCTCTCCTGTAGTTTTCCCCTTCAGCTTCTGCAAAGCTTCCCATTCCCGTTTCCCCACAGACTTTCCCAAACCTTCTCCCTTGGGGATGGCCGAGGTCGAGCTGCTCCAAGCGCCCTGCCGGACACTGTTATCCTCCCTTAGGGGTGGCATTGGCCATGCCTCCCCGGGCAAGATGCAGTGCACCCGGCGCCCCCTCCCAAGATGGCGCTGGCCATGCTACAGGGACCCCATTTTCCCGCCTTAACCCTTCTCTTCTGCTCACGTTTTCCGGCCAGCCCCACCCCTCCTCCCAATGGCCCTGCACCATTCTGCAGCAAGGCCAGCCCCTATTGGGAGGGAGGTGAGGTTGGATTAATCCCTCAGTCCTTCTTCTGGCCCCCCCTCTCATGGGAGGGATTGCCGGAGGGGTCCCTCCGTTAGAGGACCTCCCTTTGTAAGAGAGCTTTCCCCTTTGCTGGGGGGGGACCCCCTTCGAAGGGAGTGGGGCTGGAAACTCAGACCAGGGCTCCACTGTTTTCTTTCCCCTGAAACAGTGGTGCCCAGGTTTACCCCTGTATCCCATCTCCTAAATGTACCTTGCCCAAAGTTCCCTTATTATTTCAATACAAGTTTTCCCCATTGCTTTGGGAAATTTGGAAATAACTTCTTGGATTGAGTTCTATCTTATAGAAGGAAAGATCATCCTCTCTAATTACTGCCCACAATGCTATGCCAGCTTCGCAATCAAATAATCAAATTGGAGAAACCATGTCGCTGCTTCTGCTCTGCTAGAATTCGAAAAACCACAAGCATCGCATCATGAAACCTGCTTTCATCCTCGATACAGAATGTGTTTATGATAATTTTGTACCCTTTATCTTAAATTGTGATGTGGAAAAGATTTTTGCCCCATTCATTGTAACTATGATTGGTGTATCACTTTCTGATATCTCTCAACTTACATTTTCTCAGTAATTTTTAATGTTGTCAATTTGTTTTTACCTCAGAACTCCCTTTCCTTTATGTAAATTCAAAAGATTGAGTTGTGGGATTTGTAATTTTCTCTTCTTCCCCTCCCACTCCCCCTCCCCCCTTCTGTCGTGTTCCCCCTTTGTCCTGCAACCCAGCCCACCCCTCCTCCCTCCCCCCGCGGTCCTTTGTCCCCCCCCTTTCCCTTTGCCGCTCCTGCCTCCCCGGGGCCTCTGGGGTTTCCCTGTCCCTGCCTTATCCCCATTGGCCACGGCTCATGTCCCCCCCCCTGCCCCTGGCACAGGGTATAACCGACTCCCAGTTGGTGCCCCAGCGTCTTGGGAACACGCTCCCACAATAAACACGTGTTTGCAACCGAACCCCGTGTCGCTATTTTGTCTGTTCCTGCGCTAGAACTGAGCCTCGCAGAGCCAAAGGGGAAAAGCGGCCCCACCTCTCCCCTCCTCCCACCGTGCTCCCACAGGCACCCGCTGGGAGCTTGTCTTGCATGGCAACAAAGAGCTATTCTGAATTCAAAGTAAAATTTGTTATTCTGTCCTATAGCTTTTACAATGAGAAGCTATAAAGAAAACTTGAATTCCCCAGAGGAAGCAAACAGAGTTATCTCAGTGACTGAAAGACCAGTCTGGTCTATACAGGGTTCTTTTGAGGAGACTTTTTGTGATACTTGGGTGTAGACTCAGCCTGACCTCTCTTCTCTCCCTCCATCAGAGGGCAGCTCACAGACACCTTAGTGAGATATCTCCCAAACTTCCCTGAAGTCTTAGTTTATCTCAAGTTCACCTTTGCACATTCCTTTTAATGATGAGTTGCTGAATAAAGCAGGTGATGCAGATGTATTGCAGCTGTGTCTGAGTAGGAGCTTCCACAACAAAATTAATGAAACATTTCTTCTGAAATAGCAGTGCTTCCAAAACCTGATTGTCCCATCATTTCCCAGGTCTGCCAAGAGATTTGTAAATAAAAATCTGGCCTTTATTGCTACAGAGAGCAACTGCTCCCTCTTGGTCACCTACAAGCTGGTAAGTGAATTGAAAGAAGTTACTAATTTCTTAAGCTGAAGAACTAAAATTTGATTAAACGTCCTTTGTCCCTCAGCTTCTAGAGGTGAGATTCTCTGCTTATATTTGTATATGAATTTTCTTCAGAATTGTAACCACGGATCTGGTGGTTATTTTCTTTGTTGGTATTATTCCTGAAGGTCTTATCTGTTCTGGTTTTATTTGCAGCAGCTTCCGGAAGTTTTTTCTCAAAGTCCATCTGAAAGAAAGGAACAAAATACCCTTATAATTTGAAGCCTGTATTCACTGCTTTTTTCTTTTGATTAAAGAAAAATTATGAAAACAGTGCAAGAAGAACAGAGGCTTTCATTCTGTATGCCTTTTTAATGAGCTACAAAGCCTTGGGACATCTGGAGAATAGCTGGTCCTGTTGCTGTGGAGGAGGAGGAGGAGGAGGAAGTGGGAAGGAACAGCTCAGATGTTGGTGAGTGCAGCACTGCCTGGTTGTTGTTCTCTGGTGCTGCTCTGGAGGGCAGAAGCCTCAGGAGCTCTGATGATGGGGATGACAGCAGCAAGAGAGCTTCATGAGCATGTGAGTTCTAAAGTCTTTTTCTCTGAGTTTGGTGGAAGGCAATAGTTTGGTGAACTGTCTATTGCGTAAAGTGCAGTTTTGTCCCAGCAGGGAGAGGGAGGTCAGACACTATTTTGATGCCTTAAGCTTCAGCTTTTATATTTTTCATATTCTGTGCTGCTTTAGTCTGTAGTTCTGAGCTTCATATTAAGTGTTGGTAAGCTCTTTTCACAGAGTGGGTAGACAAAACAATTCCTTTTCTACCTTGGGACCAAGGATAAATGATCCAAATCTCAGGCCCAAGAGCACAAACAACATGGACTGAAGAGAGAAAATCAAGCAGGATGGGACTTCATGGGCTAAAGCTGAATTGGACAATGAAGTCCAAGATGCAAATGGAGCAGAACTGATCAAAGTGAGAGCCCCCGTGAGCGCTCGTGCATTTTGGGACCAATTTGGTTCTTCTTGGGTGCAGCCCTGGATGGGCTCTTGTGCTACCCAAGGTGTGTCCATTGAGGCCTTTTACTAAATCCCTGTTTTATTCTTTAACTCTGTCTAGCCTCTGCTCTAGGTCAGCTTCCCAAGGCATCAGTTCTGTGAGCTCCTGGCTTTCCCGAGGGCTGTTTGTTTTTTGAGGGCCTGAGTCCCCATATTTGATGAAAATGGGAAAAATAGGTAACTTATTCCTGACTGGGGTTTGGCTGATTTCATCTCCAGTCTGTGCTGCTTATGCAGCATCCCTTGCATAAGTTCAAGAGCAGCTGTTGAAGGCTGGTTATTTCTTTGCTCAGCCCATGCCCTCACGTGGGCACATGTGTTCCCACTGCTCCTGGGCCACAGCAGGGCTGAGCTGATGGGGTCAGCACTCACCTCCAGGCTATCGTGCCGCACACCACACCAGAGGAATACTTTGAGTCTTTTGGACCAAAAGCAAAACAAGTTGCAGACTGGTTTAATTAACACTGGTGGGATGTCTTCTCCTTTACTAGGTCCTGCAAAAAGAAAATAGTAATAAGTGGATAGCTGGGTATGAGCCTTGGGACCCTCAGACCATGAGGTGGGGGAGCAGGATCAGAGCCCACTGCCCTCTTCTGAGTTTGTGTCTTAAGTCACCTACTAGACTTTTTAAAAGCTTTTTTAACAGCCAGATGCAAAGGTATATATATATATATATATATATATATATATATATATGTATGTATGTATGTGTATGTGTGTGTGTGTGTCTGCATGTTTAGGCCACCAACCTGTTATAAAGCTTATCAACAGCCCGGTGATGGCACAGCCCACGCAGCCGATGGCACTGAAGTACAGGTAGGACAGGGAGTACCAGGTGTCTGCCAGCAGAGGCCTGTGAAGAGGTGAAAAAGCAGCTAGTGATGAGCAACAACTGCATTTGAGCTGTTGCCTGACTGAGCCAGCAAAAACGCAGCTCATGATGCAGCTGGTGTGTCATCTGACACCAGTCTGCACTCCCAGCCTGCCCTGGCAGTACTGCCTGCACCGCAGCTGCAGGCTGGGGCGGGGCACACTTGGCAAAACATAGGCTTAAGTGGTAACAATAGGAGAAATACCTCTCTGGAGCCAGTGTGGGAGCTGCTGTTATCAGTGCCTCGGTGCTGTTAGCCAGGGTGCAGTTGAGGGTAGACAGCTGCAGAGGGATGGACTTTGTTGCTGGTGCCGGGTAGATGAAAGAGCCAATACCAGCCCAAAAAGCCAAGCTGATCCCAGCTAAGAGGCCTCCGAGAGCACCCTTGGCAAGTATAGAAAGATACCATTAAAGATGATCTGTGGAAAGTGCTTTTCTGTGAATGTGAATTAGGCAGGAGTAGGTAATGATGGGTTATGGTGTACATAAATTCTGTTCTCTCTCAACTAAGGTATAAAGCTCTAAGGTATTTAGTGCTCTCTGTTTGCAAAAGTTGAAGCAGAAGTGTGATTAAAGCTGTGATACAAATTTTAGTTTTACTTCTGCTAACCTTGATGGGAATCCTGATGAGGCAATATGGAATGAGCTCATGTTGTGTTTTGAGTGAAAGACTGAAGGCAAAGCTTTTGAATTCACTCCGTGGATCCCAAGACTGGTGCAAGTATTGAGTAATTTTTTTATTCTTAATGAAACCCAGAAAAAAAAAATAAGAAAGCACTCATGTGAATCTAATCACTAATTATTCCACAGCTGGGTAGACTTAAATTCGGCAGGATAAATCAGCTAGGGAAAAGGCACGTGTATAAATAGATCTTAGATCCTCAGGCACTAAAACTGAAAAGCAGCTCAAGGACCCAAACAATTTTCAAAATTGAGTTTTAACCAAAAAGCACCAAGAGATTTTCTTTTAGATCAGGATTTTTGTTTCCTTACCTTCCAGTTAGCACAGGGAAACACAATTCCCAGAGTAAATAATCCCAGCATGGGCCCCCCACACATCCCGTGGATGGAAAGGGAAGCCTGTAGGTGCAGAGAAGAATGAGTTCAGGGCAGCAGCTGAGGGGAAGCATGCTCAGTTCTGATTTTGATTTATAATTTTCACTGGGAAAATGATGAGGGAGAAGGGATAAGGAGTGATTTCAGGGCAAAATTACAGAGAGAATCAATATTGTTTCCAAGCAGAAGTCAATAGAGAAAGAGTTAGGGGATTTCTTTTTTTCCTACTTATTCCTCTCAGCAAAATGTTTACTAGAAATGTTTTGGGTACTCTAGCAGCCATCAGAACTGGCAGCATTATTTGCTCAGTTCATTACATTTTGTGTTCATTCCTATTGTATTAGCTGCATTTCTGAAGCAAGAAATACCTGCACGACTCCTCCCAGCAGTGATGCTGCTGCAGCCATGGAAGTGCACACGACACCGTATAGTACACCTGGAAAAGGTAAGGTAGGGAGGTTCTCAGCCCTGGTTAATGGTGGGGATGGTTTCTAGCTCAGTAGTGTCGGAGGTGACCAGCCAGCAGGGAGGAACTGGCCCTTCTGATTGGTTGTTTAGAGTAGAGTATTACACACCCAGCAATGTCTTGTGTGAAGTCTCACTGGGTTTTTGGTTGATTGATATTTTACAAAGTAAAACAATATCAATTACACTAATTTAGAAGTTATGCCTCATCTAGAAATGTTTCTGTTGCCTTTAAGTATCGCTTTTAAAACAATCTAATAAATGAGTGAGAAATTATAAACCAGCATGACTTTCTTCCCTTGACACCAGTTTTAACTTCATGGCAGGTGAAACTCTGTATGCAGCAGCCTTGAGTAAAGCCAACCAAAACTTCTGTGCTAGCACACCTTGGTTTCAGACATCAAAATTATCTTTCTAGGTCCAGAGTGAAAAAACTAAGTAGTAAGTGGAAAAACAAGAAGGGAGAATACTAGAAGCAGTTACAGGGATAGAAAATAGACGGGTTTGGTGCTTTCATTATATTTGTGAATTGTAGTAGAATTCTTATGATAGCCATAGAAGGGTTATGATCTTACTGAAATAATTGTAACAAATATCCTAAAAATTGAAATCATTTTGGATGCTTGATATATTGATGATATTTTGTGGGCATTTTTACTTTTTTCTCTGAAAAGCTGGATAATCTGCTTATGCAGTACTCTGAGTTTGAATAGAAATTATCTACTGTATTACTCTAACTTAATATTACTATGTAGTAATGTGGTAATAACTACATTAGCATGTTTTCTGTGTTATGAAGAGTGTTTTCTAATATTTTCATTAGACCAAACTTTTCCAAGGATTTTGAATGGTGGTTGTTCATGCTAGTCTATATTTGTTTCTCTGCCATATGATGCTGATGATACTACCAAGGCATCAGAGGGTTTATCAAGTGTTACATTCATGTTTCTGAGAGAGTCTCTCTGTGCAGTGCCCTTTACTGCTAAAGAAATGGGTCTCATCTGGAGTACCCACACAAGCCTTTGCTGATCCATGTGCTCATCTTCTCGGAGACATTTGGGAAACCTTTCTTTACCAGGTCTTCAAAGGTAACGGTTGCTAAAGCATTGATGCTGGCAGCTACTGTGCTGTAGAAAGAGAGAAGAATAGTAAGTAAATAGGAAGCAATATAATCTGAAATAAAGTTGTATCGATAAAGAAAAGTTTCCTCTTTTTCCACACTAATGCTCTCCAAGAACTGTATGATTCATAGTATTTTTCATATATGCTACTTTAACTGGGGAGGTTTCTGCTGCTTCTGCAATTGCTGGGGGCTCTGCTTTTTGCTGGCATGGAACAAGATAAAAACACGTCCAAAATGACCCTTCCTTTTACAAGTTTGCGAAGACCTTAAGTATAGATATATTCCAGAATTAAAACCTCAATCCTTTAAAAATTGAAGGATGTGCAGTCACCACTAGTGCCACCGTGGTCCTCCATGAATGGCCTAACTCTTTTAGCTGGATGAGTGAGCCTGTCTTTGGTGAAAATAGTTCAGATAGACTTACTGAAAATGTTTATTGCCACTATGTTATTGTGGCAGTTACCTTAAGTAAAGAGTGTTTCACCATAAGCAGCTCCCAAGAGTATTTTGGGAAGTTAAACTCAGTTTTTCTACACTTTCTTTGTATTGATAACATTATTCTAAAATGCATTTGGGATAAAAAGATACTGGAGATGTGGACTTAGACATTATCATAAATGTAATTGTAGAATAATTTAGGTTGGAAAAGACCCCTAAGGTCACAGAGTCCAGCAGTTTACCCAGCACAGTCAAGTCCACCACTAACCCAAGTCTCTAAGTGCCACATCCACATGTCTTTCAGATATCTCCAGGGGATGTAACATAATTCAACAAGGAACTACTGCTACTTCCTAGAATGTTCTAAGAGAAACAGCTGGGCTTTTCTTAGGGTTACATATTTTGACCTCATTCTGGATCCTCCAGAAATTATCATAAACAGCTAAAATGTCAATTCAGATTCACAAACCTTAATGTTCCACTGAATGCACAGGCAACAAACAGTCCTGGGACTCCTGGCATCAAAGAAAAGATGTCCATAACAAAGTATGGCATGACCTGGGACAGGAGAAGCACAAGAGAACACAAGAAATTATTAAGGTAATGGAAGCAAAGTATATTAGCAAAGTTTATTAGCATGTTGCTAAATTCTAGTGTTGTCCCAAATAACACAGTTTCGGATTTTGAGCAAAGGGGACATCTTTTGGCAAAAATACTCAATTGAATTAATACTGCAAGAGTGCCAGAATAGATATTATTGTAGCCCTGATCTGGCATCCACCTTAGTCCCTGTGTGCTGAAAGGATGTGGAGCATTTCACAAAATTGAACTGTCTTGATATGTGCTATATCTGAGTCCAAAGCATCTCCTAATTATTGTAATGGGCATCTGTACCTGATCAGGAGCTGAAATGAAAGCAGCAGTCCAAGGGTCACAGCTCTTGTAATGAGAGTACATCACCAATCCACAAAATACTGCACATACTAGGACTGTCCAGAGTCCCAATAAATTCAAGTAAAGCGCCCTAGAGCAAAAGAGGAAAACTGTTTAATGGAAAAATAAATAAAAAAGTTGTTGCAATATAATTATTCTGAACTTTTCTGGGAGATCTCTTGATCCCAACTGGTTATATAGTTCAAACTGGCTTTATAATTCAAAGCAAAATTAAAAAATTTGAAAAAGGAAAAGTACACCATCCTTACGGAGTGAGGATGAAGTTCCCAAGCAACTCCCTGGAGCTGGGAGAGTCAAGAAACCTCTGTGCAAGGGCTGGGACTGCCATTCCTGTCCCTTGAAAGAACAGATTTTTGCCTGTTGGGAGATGCTGATGCTGTCCTCCCTTTAAAGCACACAGAATATTGTTTCCAATGTTACCATGCAAAGTAATAGTCTTGGTGAATTTTTGCTATTCCATGAGATGGATGTGGGTGACAGCATCTGCTGGGAAGGTTGTGTGGCTGTGGGTCAGCAATCCTGCAGGTTCTGAGAGCTGCCAGATTTTATAGAGCTCACATCGTGTTTGGACATCACCTTGCACAAGATCTATTGCTAAGTCCAGTTCAGAGTGTGCTACCGTGAAACAAAGGTTAACCCAGCTCATTACTAGTGATGTTCTCACTGGCGGGACTACTAAATGCTTTTCAGGCACAGAATTTTCCACAGGATGGATTCATGTAGACAGTCATGGCCTTCAGAAAAAATAATATGTTTACATACAGCAAAAAAGCTAACGGTTTGAAAAAGAAAAAAATTACCACCTTCATTCTTTAGCCATATGTGCAAACAATAGGCCCTAGGTGTGAAAAAAATCTGATTGTTTAGTAAAATATGTCTAGCAATGCATATACTACTGCTGAAGTTGAGGCAGGTAGCAAGCTGGAGACCTGTATATCTATATTGTGAAGATTCACTTTGTTCTGCATTGATTCTGATTATTGTGATGCTGCAGAATTTTAAGAAATTATTAAGATTTATTTTTATTTAAGTAATACCTTGTGCTATACTGCACCACTAAATCAATAACAACTTTTAATCCAGTATAACATGTCAGAATCTGAGGTATTGATAATTCTGAGATTGTAGAAAGTCTCTGTCTTTCTGACCCGTTGCCAAAGAAGAAGTCATAATTCGTCTGTGCTGGTTTTCAAGGTTGTTTATTCTTGCTTATCTATAACATGTTCTGCTGCCCTGCCGCAGCTCTGTCCTGCAGGGCAGCGTGTGGGGCTCTGCCCTCAGTGGGATGTTACAAACATTAAATACCAGAAACTACGTGTGCTATATTTACAATAATGTGCCAATATCTGTCACCTACGTTGAACAGTGTGTCCCCAGCCTAAACCAATAGAAAAATGCCAACACTACAGTGAAAAATGGAGGGCATGAAGAAGGAGAAAAAGGACAAAACACACCCAATATCCTCCATCTTGTACTCTTTGAACCCCTAATCTAGAATCCTAAAATTTTACTTTTGCACCCGTGCCACACTTAATTATTACTTACATCAAACACTCAGAGCTTGTAATTCATCCTGTAAGATTGAAAACTCTTTTCCATGGACAGAAATCACAGACAGTGTCTCTCGGGGCTCTGTACAGGGGGGGTTCCTGACCCCTGCCAGGGTCCCAGGCCTTCCAGGGCAGCCAGAGGGAAGCCCTGGAATCCCACAATAACATAAATGCAGTTCCAATAGATACATTTTTACAATGAGGTTGTAGATAGCACAACTTCTGTGTTGACATCTTTTCTATACTTCTGAGGATTAGTTTATCAGCGTGATCATAAATTGATAAGCTGCAAGAGATAGATTTCTCTTTCTCCTCTGCATATACTTAAGTCATTTTGAGGCAGAGGTAGTAAGACTGTCAGAGCAAAATTAGCTTACTATGACCTAATGGGATCCCAATATTTATTTGTCATATAAATATATATCATTTGTCAGTATAGCTGACCAACTTAGTGTAATTTTTGATTGATTGCAGGAATAGGTTAATGACAGGTAGCTTACATTTTAGCATGCCTTTCTGATTTGCAGGAAATGCATCTCTGTATTGTGGACTGATTGACGCCATAGAGCCCTAGCCATGTAAATGTTCCCCCAATAACTATTGTCCAGAAGGTATGTCGTCTCAAAGGATCAACATCAAAGCTAGAAGAAGGAAAGAAAGAAAGAAGCAATTTAGTTTTTTTATTTAAATATGTTTTTTTCAGCAAGAGGTACGTGATTTTTTTTCAGAATTATCTGGCATGTCCTACCATCTGAATCAAAAATTCTGCATTGGAAATACTGTTTTTCAGAACAGACAACATGCAGTGTATTCAGGTTTGGAAGACTTTTTTACTTTTATATTGGAACACATTGTTTTCAAGTCAGGATAGCCAAATATCATTCAGACCTAGTCAGAGGATCACTTCATTCAGATTAACCAAATTTATAAGGGTGTTTATGCTCAGACATCTGACCTGTGTCATATTGTAGCAGAACTACAAGCCATAGTGCCTGAGACCCCTTCTTTTGTAAGGAACAAGGTTGCTTACCAAACTCTAAAAAAATCCAGCAAACTTTTAATAATAATAATTATTATTAATAATAATTTTATTTATAATTAAAATAATAATAGTCATAATATAACTTCCTTTACAAGACATTGCTTCAGCTGCTGTGTTGTCTTTTGTACAACAAAATTCTACTACTCAGCAAATCTTACTCATACAAGTATATCTTTCTGTTTTGAAGGTGTCACCTTTGCAGTTCTCCTTATCTTGGTTGAGACAGCAGGTAACATTTGACTTTGCTGCTGGATTATGTTACTGACTTGTCTTGATTAACCAACCAATGCCACAAACAGCTAAAGGAAGATCATATTTCTGTCCCAGTGCACTGGTGCAGTATTGCCTGCTGCAGTGGTGAGTGCAAGTAAAACATAGTGTCTGTTTTATGAATAGAAAATGAAAGATATATACACTTAGCCACTGAGATTAGCTGTGTTTAGAGCATGGTGCTAACAGCATCAAGGTTTCATGTTTGATCACTGTATAGGCCATTTACTTAAGAGCTGGACTTGTTGATCCTTGTGGATCTCTTCCAACTCAGAATATTCTGTGTATGAAATTGGAAGGAATAATTGGGCTGCATTTGTAGCTACACACACACAAAAAAAAGCAAATCTCTCCTTCATTTCAGCAGACCTTTCATTTCTTGAAAGAGTCAAGAGTTCCTAAAGGTCAAATGCATTGCCAATATCTGAAGAGATGAGGAATGGACTTCTGTGAGTCACCAAGGTTGTTTAATAGCAAGTCTGTGTATTTTTGGCTTACTGAAGGTATGGTTTCTAAACATGAAATGTACAGAGAGGAATGTTTTGCATCATTTGTTTCTTACTCAAATATGTTTAGCCGAGATCCTTCATGGGCATCTTCCCAGACTTTGGTTGCTCCACCATTCAGATTAGTTCCTCGAATCAAAACTGCCACGAAGCCAGCCACCATAACAACCATTTGAAATGCATCTGTCCAGACAACAGCTTTTAATCCTCCCTAAAACAAAGAGAAACTGTACGCACCCAATCTTCTTTCCTGTTGCTCAAGTACTGAAAAATGTAGAAAGACTCCTTATTTTGACAAGCTCCTGGGCTGTATGTACAGCACCCAGCAAATCAGGGCTCTGTATTCTCCCACAAAGTGTGTATTTTTGCAGGTCAGAAAATTTCACATCCTAAATAGTTTGTCTATGGGCACAGAAGAATATTTGACTTTCAGTTAAATGCCTTTTTTTCCCTGACTCCTTTATATGCATTTGAAGACCATATCATGGTGTGGAACACAAGCTTAGGGAGTTTTGGCCTGTTCCTACATCCCTTAGGACTCCATACATTCTCAGAGCCCACAGTTAGCCCAACACGGAAAAATAGCTCTGGAAAATTTGCCATTCAGCTTTCTTCCATAGCTACTTTCATATTTGGTCAAATCAGTACTAGAGCATATAATAAGTGTTTTCAACACAAGTGATATATTGAAAAAAAATCATTAGTGTCAATGAGAATGGCAATTAGTTTGTGTCCTGAGCCATAGGGCTCTGCTGCTTCGGTGCAAATATCTATAAAATATATCTGTTTTGGAATTTGGAGTCTCATGTTGCTTCCACTCAAAAGTAAAGCTCTCTGGCCTGTTGATTATCCCTCCTAGGTTTTAGTGCTTTGTTCTTGGGCATGATTTTCATTACAGTGTTTTTCAGCCTATAATTTGTAAAAGATAAGAATCATCTTCTCAAAAAACGACAGGGGAAGCTTATTGCCTCCTTATCTGGACTCTGTCCCAAGATGTCTAGTTTAAACATGGAGACATACAGCAAAGGATTAGAGAGGATTCTTTTCCTCCAAATAGACTTCCCTATAACACAGAACATATAAGAAATTTATCTCTATGTACTCAACAGGAGCCATCCTTGTCTGGTAGTGTGTCATAAGATGGTCAAATTAACCATCTGTGTTCCAACTGTTCAGTTATGTCTATTACATACCAGAGTGCAATAGAAAGTGCAGACAATTCCTGTTGCAGCTACAGAGCCCCAGAGATCAAATCCAGTGACTGCAAAACCAGTGAAAACAAAATCGTTAGTCAAATGGGTGTGAGTCATCTGGAAGGTAGCAGAAGAGCTGTAGTCCTTGAGCTTTAGAAGGATAGGAGTAATCACTAATTTTAATCTTTTGTGTCTATTAGGAGCTTTGCTGGATTGTTCAAGTTTTGTAGAACTTGTGGATACTGTTTTGCATTGTTGTTTTCTTTCAAATTGAAATTAATTAACTTTCAAGCAAAAGTAAGAATACTTGCATAAAGCAAAAATGTCATTGTGATGGGACAGAGCTTTATAAGCAATGCTTCACTTCTGTTCTTAGTCCAGAACTTTGTTATTGAGAAACCAAGTTCTTCAGAGATTCCCAAAAATCCTAAGATGAGAAAAACCCCAACCCATAAGTAAATACCATTACCTGCATCTAAGAATGATTTAATGCTAAAATGGGCTTAATTAAAACAAATTTCTGTGTTCATTTTGCTTTGTCAAGTTTCTTTACACAAAATGCACGAATTTTTTTTTTGGCTGATACTGAAATCTTACCCACCAGTCAAAGTCTGTGAGGGCAAAAGCTATTTTTAAAGGTTCTCCTATCAACAAAGTTAGTATGGTGTAATAATGAATGAGAACTTTCACATGGAATTCAGCTGCATGACAGAGGAAGAAAATTTGGCACTGTGTGAGCGATGGGATCAAACAGACTGAATGCAACTTGGATAATTAACAAAGAAAAGAGCCTCACAATCGCTTTCCAGTCAGTTTTGGTAAAATCAGGATTTAGGCCATGATGATTCCTTGTGCCATGATGATTCTATGTGCCCTAAAATTACAAATCCTGTCTATGGTGATGGAGGCTTTATGCCTACTTGGCAAATATTAATTGAAGAAGTCTGGGGACAGAGAGCAGAACAGCATTCATCTCTGGCTGCAGGGAAGAGTTATTCCCATGGAAACCTGAATACAAGAGACAGGGATAGGAGGAATCAAAGTACATAATATGGTCTTGGATCATCAGCTTGTACTGTGAACTTTGTCAGGATGTTGGGAAATTGTTTGCTTCAAGTCTCTTCAGGTGGTACTGAGTGGGAAGGAGAGCAGAAGAGCAATCACAAGGCTCCTGCTAATGTTTGGGTGTGAGAGGAACCTGGGGAGTCAGAAATAGAGAGCTATAAGGGGAAGGCAAAAACCTTCTTATAGGGCCTTTGAGCAGGGTTGGGGTTTTATCCATTTTTGTTACTTCATTTACTCAGGCAATCCCTTTGGTGTGCTTATTTGCAGTAGCAGTGTAGTGCAGCATAAGAACTCACCCTGGTTGAGTGCCAATGATGGAGCATAGACCACAATTCCTGTGTAAAGGATCTGAAGGAGAAAAATGATGTATTTTGAATGCTCAGTGATAAAACTTGTATTTAGAGTAGGGCTCTAATACCTAAAATACCAGATATAAAATACCAGATTTAGGGGTTTCTTTAGATCAGCTTGTATTGTATAAGGCTTTGTGTTTCAGCCCTTAAAAATTAAAATCTTGTGTTTAATTCCTTTCTGAGGGGAGGATCATTATTTGTCTTTGTATTACCTATTTCTCTACTGCTAAGAAAAGTATATGACAAAATATCCTCATGAAATAGAAAAAGGGTATCTGCAGAAAACACAAATAGTGTTAACAGAAATAAAGTTGCATTGATCATAGAAATTAAATTTTCATTTTTCCATTCAGTCCCTTAAAGTAACTGACTCAATACCCTTTATGTTTAAAATCTGAGATAACTGATGGAGAAACAAAGCATCAAAGTCAATAAGTGTTCAGATCTATTGCCAAAGGTTTGGGAATTATTAAAATGGAATGAATGCAGAAGTAAATGTCTCCTAATCTCCCCTCAAGTCCCATCTTTCCATTAAATACACAAATAATGTAACCTGTCAAGATGGTCACAGCAGTGACCAGTGCATCTGCCCAGGATACCTTGTATAGCAGTTTTCAAATAGGATAGTTCACCTCAGTGTCATAAATGGGTAACTAAACATACCCAGTGAAGCTTGACCAGCTGCTCAAGAAAGACAGAATCCACTTATCTGGGAAGAGAGAGGCTTCCAGTGAACATAATAATAATGTGACCAAGAATGTGCCGTGAGAGTACAGCAGTACATTCGAGTGTTAAAGACAACTAAAATGGCATTCTTAATACTAAACAGGAAAATTTAGGGAAGTCAGATAGTTAAATATATAATCATACTTTCTTTGTAGCATTCATGGTTCAAGTGAGAAAACGAAGAAAAAAGAGTACTCATTAAAACATCTCATTATAAAATATGTGCTGTCTGAGACTAATCTGTGAAAAATCAATGCTGACTGAAATTAACATAAAAAAGAGTCAATGTTATCTTACCGTCTGTAGGATGTAAATCAGTGTTGCAGCAAGACGGACAATCTTGTTAAATCTTAACTCCAAATACTAGGAAAAAGCATATTCTCAATAAAGTGCACATGCAGCATCTGTGACACAGCCGTTACCCTTCTGTTTGCCCCAAGTGGCACCTTACTGTGCAAGTAAACTTACTGGCAACTGGCACTGCTGCTATGAGCAGCTAACAAGGAGAGCAGGATTGTCATTAGACAGAATGATAATTACAATTAGAAATCAATCTTCTCATCTGTAACATGTACATGATGGTGTATATATAATCAGTGTATAGATTATATAGATATAATTATATAGATGATATAATCTATGTACTGATTATTGCAGTAATCGATACCTTCTTTGTACCAGGAATAACTGGAAGATCCCAAGAACTACAAAGAAATTTTAACTTCAAATGAAAGTATGTTCCAATTATACAATGAGGAAACTTGAGTTCATCTCTAGCAGAAATAGCATTGATTAAAAGTGGAGGTGGAGTGATGGTGAAGCAGCGACATGGAGTTTCCTGGTGCAGGAGCTAGGTTGGCTTTTCCCCTTGTTCTATCTCAGCCTAAGGCCAAATCTGCACATCACCAATATGGAGAGGCACAAAGGGGGATCTTATGGACTTTCAGGCTCATGGATGTAGAGAGTTAAAAGAACTGCAGAGGCGAGTGGATCTCTAGACCCAAAAGCCCAGGTTTTAAGGCTGAATGATCACCTGAGGTCTCTGCAGAGTTTCTCTGCCCTGTGGCAGCCTCTATGCAGGGAGACTCTTCTTGGGCCACAGTCCCACATGCCCCTCAACAGACATCAGGCATGGCCTGTGTAAGTTTTCTCTCTTTCACAAGTCTCCAGGCTGTGCACTTTGTACTGCCAAAGCATCTTCTTTTTTTTTTTTTCTTTTTTCTCATGCTGATCTTGTGTTTCTTGCATAATAAACCCCACAGTCCACCATGTAAATACATAGTGAATTTATGTAACTTTACCTATTTCTAAAATTAACTCATGAAGCCAGCAGTCATCTTTCCAGCATGCTTGAAGAGTCTCTTCATCTACAATATGACCCTTTTGCTGGTTCAGATGACAGAAGTAATTAATTCTCTGACATTGGATCAAAACCAACTAGAAAATGCAATTACTTGGAGCAATGGTCAATTTTACTCTTCACTGTCCTGAAGATATTTCCAAATACCCAGGCAGATCTGTTTGACCAAATTTGTTCCTCGTGTTTGGGCTCAGTGAGCACAAGCAGCCTTTCTGTTACCAGAAGGTTCCTTGTGAACGAACCCAGTTTCATCATCCAATTCATGCTTAGTTGAAACTGCCCACAGAGGAGCAACCAAACTTGCAGGAGCTGACTGAAGTGAGTAAGAAGCCATCCCAAATTATCAGTAACTGTCCTGTGGATGTGCAGTTTATAAGGGCTGCTACTGAACTGTGTTAAGAAGGAAAAAATGTGTTCCAGAGAAAATGCCAGGCAAAAACTCTACAAAATTCAGAAGTTACTAATTTATTTTCCTAGAGAATGCTTGAATTCATTCTCCAGCCCTGACTTTTTTTTTTTTCTTTCTTTTTTATTATTTTAACCAGCCTGCCACCTTCTTTCTTTTCTTCCCATCTCAGCTACTTAGATATAGTAACTTGGCCAGAATTACTATATCTAGACTAGTTTGAATTGGATAGTATTGAATGTTGTTCTTAAAGTCTATCTCTAAACCAGAGCAAAATTTGGATATGCTTAAGTATTTTCCAGCTGTAATTTAATTTGGTGCTGTGTGTAAATCCATATCCTCTCTGTGCTATATGCGCATAAAAGGAGCTCTGACCCTTAGATTATGATTTCAGCTTATACAATATAAATAACTAGTTTTGTAATGCAAATTATTTCAAAAAATAATTAATATATCTATATATTTGTTCTGTAAAACACTGCAGAAGTTTTTTTGTCAAAGATTTTTCTCTAAAAACTATATACATGATAATTAGTTATGCTAGAATAGTGTCTTTATTTTATTATTTTTACTTACCTCGTAAGTGCTTGTGATGCCAGATCTATAAAAAACAGGTAGGAAAAGTTCAGAAGTAAAAATTATGACAAGTGTATATGAAAGAAAGAAGAGCACAAAGGATGCCCCATAGCGATAAACTTCAGAGGGTGTCCCCAGGACTGTCACTGCTGACATGAAACTTGATGTAAGAGAAAAAGCTATGGGTCCACATGTCATCTGCTTACCGCCCACCAAAAATTCCTTTGAAGTTTTTTTTTTCCTCTCTTTAACTGCAAAAAAGACTCCAATGCTGGCAGAGACTAAAAATAATGCTGCAAAAACAACGTAGTCCCAAGTCACAAATTTTTTGATTTCTGGAGCTACAAAGTTTGGCATTGCACCAATTGTATAATTCTTTGATGGAAGATTCTGGTTTACTGTGGCTGCTGCTCCAACCAGATTAACTCTGTTGACAGCAGAGCTGAAGCTTGTCTGTAGCTCAGCAATGACAAAAAATAAACTTTAAGAGTGTTCAGCCAGAACACTTTTTCTAATCCAGTTCAGTTCTAAGGAGTTAAAAAAAAGGTAGCTAAGGATGAGTTAAGGAGGAATGCACTTAGACCCAAGTACTGCAGGTGCTTTTGCCAAGCAAGCTGAAATAAGGGACTTAGCTGTGAAATCTGTAGTACAATCCCTTTTTATCTCTGATGTGTAAGTTTAAGGTTAAACATTAGCCTGGCACATTGACATGATCCAACTATTTTCTAACATCTCAGCATTTTAAAATAATGAAATGAGAGCAATAGAGAAAAAAATAAAGGAGAGGGAAAGGAAGGAAAGCTCAGTGTACAAACCTGTCATCTCACTAATGAGTTTGTTTTCAGAGAAGCAATTTCCTCATATGGTTAAAAACGGATCTTGAATGCCAGCAATAGTCTTTGCAGCTGTCCTTTGAGATGCTAAGTGTGCTCCTAGAATCTCTGGAACTTAAGGTGGCCGTAAGAAACTGAAGTGTTTAATTGTTAAAACTAATTATGGTGCTTCCCTCCACCTGCTGTAGTTCAGCCTTGGTGTGTTTGGAAGCCCAATGGACCTCCAGATGAACAGAAGTGTGGTTTGTGCTGCACTGTCTGAGGGTGAATTACAGTTAGAAACTAATTTTTAACTGGCTTCTACTGAAGAAGTTTCTGTGGGTTCCTGTGAGAAATTACTTATTTATCCATATAAAACTTTGTTGGATTTACAGGACTACAGAATCATAGAAAACCAGATTGAACAGCAATATTTATCTTAACTATGTCTTTGGCATAATTTTGTAAATTCAATTATTAGGTTTTCCTTTTGTGTTTTTGTTTTAGATAATTGAATATTCATTTTATCCTCATTAATGCTGTAACAATGCATTTTCCAAAGAACCAGGAAATTATTTGTCATCCTGAAGGATTAACTTGTACAGAGAGGTAGTGTGTGCAGTCACAACCCTGAAAGAAGGGTGGGGTTTGTATTGTGGAAAAAAAAAAAAATTACATAACCTGGGAGAGCTTTAAATAGCAGAAGTCCTTTTCTTCAGCCTTGTTTTGGTTGGGGATGGATCCCCACATCTCCTTCTTAGTTCATTGGTAAATAGAGGTGGTTTTGCTGTGTCAGTAGCAGCTTAGTGTGTGTCCAGACCTGAAGTCTTCCTGTTCCCATCCATTGTTCAGGAGATGGACTTCTGCCCATGTGTGAAGTAGAGATTGTGCAATTTTATAGTTGATTTTGGTGAGACTGAGTGTGAAAGGGGAAGCAAATCCAAACCAAGATACTTCTTTAAAGGTACTGCTGCATACAGAGAAAGCACTTCTAGTCCACGTAAGTTAAAAATATGAAGTGTGGGTTTGGGATCTTATGACCCCAAATCTATGGAAGACAGGATATGGATGTAGCAGTTGCCAGAGCACAGCATTGTGTAACCGTGAGTGGTGAAGTGGAGGGGCCAGAAGAGACAGCAGTGAACCACGTTCCATGATGTGGATCAGAGTCAGTACAGGTAACATGCTGAGAGTTTTCACACAACTGTATCCAAGTATGCAGCCATCACTAGTTAATATTTCTCTTTTGTACAGACCAAATGCCTTAAAGTGTTACACTCTCAAAAAAGCAGCCAAGTATTCCTCTGCTTTTGAGAGGGTTTTTTTTTTTTTTTTTGCCTCTCCCTCCCCTTTTTGCTCTTCTCTTCTTATAAGTGTGGACATGGATATGGATATTTTCTGAATGTTTTATATTAATAATACCTACAGGGTCTTATTAATAAGTGTCTCTGGCAATGGTAAAAGCTATGCCAGTACAACAGGGAGTTTCTGGGGTCAACCGTCAACCCAGTCTGGCAGTAGGCTAATTTAATGGTGTTTGTATGCAGCTTGTAGGGCTCACTGGGAAAACCATAGATTGATCTAGTTTGATCCCAGGAACATCAAATGAATTCACAAAAAGATGCAAACCCTCAAACTTGAGGGTATTTCTTCTTAAATTTGAGTTGCTGGACATGCATTATCTAAATGAGACCTCATCAGCCTTACAATGTTGAGAGGGTAGAGAACTGTTTATAAAGCTTGGGATAAAAAAATGAAAGTATAAAGCAAATGAAAAAATAATCATCTGCGTCAGAAGGTTTCTCTCCTTGCCATGTTACCAAAGAAACTGTAAGTGGAAGATCCCTGTAATATCCATTCTAGGAAAATAAGTGTAGTGTAAAAATTTCTTTTGGCATTAATATAAACCTGCCAAAAATTTTTTTTAATTGCAAATGTTTTTTCCAGCAGAAAAGTGGGGATTTTTTTTGGATGATGGTATATTACACAAAGTAGGGAAAAACTAATGGACGAACAAACTGAAAATCAAGCTAGAAATGTAAATTTGTGTATTTATCATGCCATAGTCTTCTGACACATTTTTCAGCATCATGTTGTGGGATTGTTCAGAATAATCATTTTGGCTAAATCCCACATAGAAAAAAAAACTTAGAAATATGATTTCTGGAGAAAAAATATTTTTAAATAGTATGGAAACACTTGTTATTATGTTGTGATGTTATTCTTTGTGTGGAAATAATTGATATTTTTATTTCCCTGAAATAAGAAGATTATTTTAAATTTATTTATGCAAACTCTTGTGAAACTGATTTTTAGCCAGGGTAACCCAAGGAAGAGCCTTCACTTTTTGAAGATTCAATACCTCTTTCAATATCTGACCAAGAATCTGAAAAGAAATTCCAAGTTGACTGTTTCACTTTTCCATTCCAGGCTATATGCAGCGGAGGTTCTATGTCAGGCTTTACTTCAACATCTGAAAAAAGCACTTGAGGATAGCAAAGTTAAGGGTGTGACTAATGAGCTGCAGCCTGACTTGCTGCAGTCAGGCAGGAAAACTTGCAAGGAATGCTCCTTTCCATGAGCTGCTGTCCCTTTTTGCCCCTGATTGTGGGGAACATAAGAATAGCCTTTTGAGGGGGAGAGGAGACACAGCTTGAGTGAATGGATATATATCATTGCATCTTTCAGATTGAGATCAGGGAAAAGACAGACCTTAATTTAGCATTCTATTGGCTTGAGAGTTGAGCATCTCTTGTAGTGCTTGTGAGACACACCTGCCTTATCCTAAAATGCAGAAAAGTGATGCCCTGTGTGCCACACTGTGCATATTTAATAGCAGTTCCCTATGAGGAAGCTGAAGACACATCTGCCTGATGCTCTCACCACCACTACTACATTGTCCACTCTTGCTGTTCTTTTTTCTTTTTTTATCTCCTTGCAGTGAGAGCTTTCCATTTGGAGTAAATGCCAGTTTGAGATGATAGAAATTATCCCTTTCTGAGACCAGACTAGAATCATGTAGTCTGATGCTCAGTGATCAGATTATGAACGGTTTTCTGACTCCAGCTGAATTAATCTGCTAGATACCCTTTGTCATGTGTAACAGATCCAGGACCTCACCCTTGATCAAAGACTGACTGATCACTAGTACTGAGAAGAAGAAAAATGAGTTTTGAATTCTGAAATTACTTAAAATTTTTTCATCTTATGCACTTATATTGATGCTAATCCAGTATTTGAGTCTGAGATCTGTCCACTGTTACAAACATAAGTGTAATTCTGTAACATAATATCAAGTCAGATGTAGATTTGATATCCCTTTGTTGATATCCATTTGTTGGTGCTACTTGAAATGCTTAGATCTATACATAGAAAATTATTTAACTTACAAACTTAAGATCTCCTCACAAGTTGTACACTTTGCATAGTACCCATAAACAGCAACAGCCTCTAAATATTTTATAAAAAATAAACATTATATGAATTTCTCTAAGGAAAGTATTTCTAACACCTGGGTCAGAAAGTTTCTCTGTTTAGTATATTGCTTTCCACTAGAAATCATTTAAAGTGCAACTGTCAGGTAAAAAAATACCTGCAGTGTTTGATCACAGGAACATCAAGTGAAATAAGTAAGTGCAGTACTGAAGGATATTTTTTTTCTAAAAATGCAGATAATAGTATAAATTCTGTGACTAATATATTTAAAAAAAAAAAAACAACAAACCAATTGTTTTACTGTATACTAATAAATGACTAAATTATTTTCTTATTCCTTTTCAATATTTTTCAATATAAAGCTGTGAAAAATGCATAGAAATAGGCACTCGAGGATTTAAGTTACATTTGATTGGATTGGTGAAAAGCAGTGATAACTCATTTCCTGAGAAAAAGTACATTTTTGGAGAAAAAAAAAAAAATTGCACTGAAAACTGTGTCTTCCAGAAATCCTGTTAAACGTAGGGGTTATTATCTTCCCTTGACAGTGGACTTTGGTTTTCTTATGAGGCTCTTCTTTAATGATTACTTTTTCCTCAGAAAGTCATGCTCATTTATCTATAAAAAGATGATGATAGTCCAGTAGTATGAGGAACTGGAGGTATTGCTTAGAGTTTCAAAATCGGTCATTCTCTGGGGACACAGAGTCCTCCCTGTGGGATTATTCTTCCCTGGAAGTGCCAGGTCACATCAGGGTACCCAGTGGCCTCTATGGCCAGTGGTCAAGACCCATACAGTCCTGATTTCCTCTACTTTCATTGTAGGATGCAAAGTTTGTGGAGCTGCTTGCAAACACAGTTGTTCACTTTGTGAGCATTTCTCAGGAGAAGAAGGCACAGTTTACACCGAGAATTGGATTTTCTTCTACAAAGACAGCTAGAAATCTGCATGGGAAGAAACAATCTGAAACACTGGATTTTGAATAGTCATATTATCAAGAAAAAGAAACCAGCTTAAAATCTTATGTCAGTTATCATTTGCCCCTCCACTACTGCAGTGGTTGAGGGTCCCTCTGTGGCTGCAGTTTCCCAAGGCCCCAAGCCATCCTCAGATCTTCCCAGCTGCCCCCTCCACAGGTTGGAGCTGGCCCCAGTCCTTCAGTTCCCTGGAATTTTACTGTAAAAGTGGGATATAGGAAAGTAGTTTGCTGCTCATCTGCCCAGGGAGTACCTTCCTCTGAAACCTATAAACTTGCACCAGTGGACAGACACCAGTGCAGAGCAAGACTGAGACACATCACATCCTGACACAGTAACTGGGGACTGCTCCAAAATGGGACGGGACATTTCCCAGTCCCACCTTTCAAGGAGTATTTGCCGCAGTGTCTATGTGGAAAATAGACACAACCAAATTAATAATTCTCCAGAAATGGCACAGATATGATTTGGAAAGATGTTTCTATTGAAATATCACCCAAAATCAATGATTGGCTATTGCAGTCAGATCACAAGCTGGATAGATCAAGCAACAGAGCTCGTAACAGATTAGAGTGAGGTGAAGGTATGAAAACAGCTGGTGCAGATCTGCTGGTGAAACAGAACAGGCTGCAAAGGCTGCTGTGCTCTTGGTGTGGACACCAAGGGAGGTAAGGCTGTCCTTTGGTCATCTCTATTTTTTTGCTGACTTTGCCAATGGAAGACTCTGTGAGAGAGAGCATGCATGAGGCTGAGCACAGCAGAGAGAAGGGAAGGAGGCTGGCTGAGAGAAGGCAGGGCTAGGTTGCACTGAGGAAATTTGTACTGCAGTGGCCATCTGAGATCCTTACAGGGAAGAGTAGAATACTACTCTTGACTAATAACTAATGAATAAACATAACTAATTTCTGAGAAAACATTACTTATTTTCTGTTTGACTTACAGCTTTGCAGACTAAGGCTGTTAAATTGGGTTCATCTTTTTATTTGCTGAACAAGCCAAGAGGTTGTAAAACTTGTGGACTGACAGAAGGACCAGCTGTGCATTCCAGTGTACCTCAGCAAAAGAAGGCAGTCAATGACTGAACAAAATAGCAGCATTACAGTTCTATTTTGTTGTAAAATGAGGAAAAGGCACAGCAAAAGTAAAACATTTTATACACAAATCAAAAAGCAGTTTGGGGAGAAAGTAGTAGCAGCTGGGAAGGAAAGAGGGGGTTGAAATCTCACTGCAGGTGATTTAAGAATAAAGAAGCAGAACATATTTTAGAAGAATGAAAAATTAATGTGCACTTCACTATTTCTGTGCTATTAAAAGCTTTGGAAGCCAAAGTCATCTGATTTGGTCTTCAATTGTTAATAAGTTATAGACATTCCACCTTAACCCTGCAAAAGAAGCATTTGGAAACAGGCAGCAGTCTTAGAGATAGACAGATAATATGGACTTCACAGGATTGCTGTTGAGAGTCCATGCAGGTCTGTGTTGTTCATGAGCACCTTTAATGAGCATCCCTGGTAACAACACCACTGTGTTACCCTACTAAACATAAAGGAGAAATTCCCTGAGGAATTAAGATGTTTAACACTAAAGAGGCATGACATCTTCTGCCAGATAAGATGGTTCATGAACTCCAGTGAACTTGTGTTATAAAAAGTATGTTTTCCCACATCACAGAAACTCCAAATAAAAGGGTCTCCTTCTTTAGTAGGACTTGGAGATTAATAATCTTTAATCATTATTGATTTATTTTGTGACATTCAGTTTCATTCTTAGTGTACTTCAAAGGAATCTCTTAATTCTGTTTTGCCTACATAATTTCAGTCTCCCTATGTACTCACATCCTTATCTTTGTATAGCATTTGAGGTTTTGTGCATTTTTCGCAGAGAATAGCTTCTCCTGAACTGTTATATTGCTTGTTATCATTAAATTCCCTCAATTATCATCTCTTCTTTTCTTTTCCCTAGCTTAAAATTAATAAAATTAATATGAAGACCTAGTGATAGTTAAAATACTCCATCAAAGAAATGAATAAATAGCATTTTCCTTGCAACTCTACAATCTATTTTGCTTGAAAGATTCAGGTGGAAGACTTTCTGTTACATGTAGTAGATAGGGACAGGCGAACGGAAGATCTCGGGATGTGACGGAAAGAGAGACCCTTCCCCCTTCTCCCTGCTTCACGTTATCTATTAACCCCAAAGCATGTAACCACACCTAACCCAGTAGTTTTCCACTCCCGACTAACCCTAGAGACCCTACCAAACCCCCCTCTGACGTAGCAAAGTCCCCCAAGGCTATTTAAACCCATGAGATAAGATAATAAAGGCTTTCGACCGTCCACCAAATTGGTGTCTGCGTGTGTCGTTAGCCCGAGTGGTCCGGACAGGCCGGGCCGCTGTGCTGTCTTCTTGAAACCAGGTCGCCGTTGTCTTTCATAAAGGCAACAAATCTGGTGCCGAAACCCGGGAGAAGAAAAATTCGCTCGGGTAACGGGATACACCTGGACAGGAGCAGCGGCCGGAGCGGTCAGACCGTATCTTGGCGTAGGGAGACGTCCAGGACCCGCGAGCGTCATGGACAGCATCGCCAGGGTCGTAAGTGTGATTTATAAGCAGTGGGGTATCGAGTGTAAGCTCAAGGACTTTTATCTTGCTATAGCGAGGCTGCTTGAGCTTGGGGCGACTGAATGCCCAGTGGATGTTATACATCCGGGAATATGGGAAAAATGCACAGCCAGGCTGGCCGAGGACTCAAAATCCTCAGGCAGTGGCAAAAGCCCTAAGGCATGGGGCAAAGTAGAGAAAGCCCCGCGCAGAGCAATAGAAGAGCAAGAGACGTGGAGCGCGGCGCTTGCGTGTTTATTAGTTAGACCCGGGCTCAGGGTGGGGGCGGGAGCGCAGACCACTTCTGAGGACGATCCGCCCGGGAACGGAGACCCGGGGGGGCCCGGCGCGTCACCTCCCTCCTCAGATCAGAGCCCAACCCCCGCCGCGGAAGCCCCCCGAAAAACCCCCGCCGCGGAAACCCCCCGAAAAACCCCCGCCGCGGAAACCCCCCCGAAAAACCGCGGCTTCCCCGTCCGTCCCGCCACCGCCGGTCCGCGGCCCGTTGCCGGAGGTACAGCGGCGCGCAGAGTGCTTCTGGCAGGAGCTGGCAGGGGAAGCCAGAGGCGCAGAAACCGCGGCTCGGGAGAAGATCCAAACCACGCTGCCACCTCAGCCCTTTGAAAATGGCGCTGGCCGCCAAGGAGAGGGGTGGGGCGCGGGCGGTCTCGGCGCGAAAAGCCGGGAGCCACGCGGTTTCAGGGACGCGCGTGCGCGGGAGAAAGAGGCGGAGAGCGGCAGAGAGCGTGGAGCCAATCGGCAGCCGCGCCGGGCGCCGCTACCATTTAAGGGAGAGACCTCCCCCTGCAGGAGGCAGGGCAAGCCAGGGGGGCAGGAGCGGCACCACCCCCGCGGGGAGGAGCGAGCTCGGAGCCGGACAAAAAGGCACTGAGCCCCGGAAATGCGCTGGCATTCGACTTCCGACTCGGAGTCCAGCAGCAGCTCCGCCAGCTCGGAAGAGCTGCCGGAAGCCGGCTATGATTCTGAGACGGAAGAAACGGAGCCAACGCAATTTAAGACAAAACCGAGTAAAGCTCTAAGCCGCACCGAAAAACAACTACAATACGAACCAGCCCAGTTTACCGACTGGGGAGAAATAAAAATAGCCTGTGCTGAATGGTCCCCAGCGGCTGCCATACAAGCCTTCCCGGTGAGGCTCACCGGCCTGGAGGGGAACCAACAAAGGGTATATACCCCGATAAACCCAAAAGATGTACAGTCAATTGCCAAAGCCATTGCAGAAAAAGGAATCAATTCGGCCATAGTCTCCACTTTAATCGATGGTCTTTTTGGTAATGACGACCTGCTTCCCTTTGATATCGAGCGAATAGGTCGCATGATACTTGATTGTGTGGGAATGATTATGTTTAGACAGGAATGGGAGGATAATTGTACAAAGCTATTAGCCCAAGCATCTGGCGCGAGGCAGCCACTACACAGATCGAGCTTATCCAGACTAATAGGAAAGCACGATGATATGATCACGCCGCAGCAACAAGCCACGCAGATGCAGGCTGAGGAGGTCAGGGCGACCACTCGGGCTGCCAGGGAGGCGATCCGCGCTGCCTCCCGAGTCGTGGCTAAGCCGGCGCCGTGGTCCACCGTGAGGCAGGCAGAGAGCGAAAGCTTCACGCAGTTTGTGGATCGCCTGCAGGCAGCGATAGACTCCTCTACCCTGCCGGCAGAGG